CATGTGTATGCCGGTAGACACCGATGTATGTACATGTTGAACTTTAGTCAACTGTGCTAATCGGAGGTGTGGCGGAAGGCCAACAAACTAAACACAAAAAGCAGAATGTCTTTAGTTCCACTCTGTGCTGATTGAACTTAAGGGCAAGTTATGCATTTTTACAATTTTCACCCAAGTTTTAATGCCCTCCTTGAGATTTCCTTAACGTTGCTTTTCCATTCGCAACAAACATTAGCGCTGCTCATGCAATTTCTGCAGTGTAAAGATGGTGACTCACCGCTTTTATTTGAGCTGCGTGCTCTTAAAATTATAATCATTTGAGAGCATTTTTCTCTAATGCTTGTTTTCGATGTTTAATTCTTTAAACCGTATACGTATACAGCTCCAGAGGAAGGTTAAAAAAGTACATAGATAAAAGCAATTCTTACTTGGAGATATCAGGCTAATAACAGTAGTGTCTGTTCCTTGCTTGATTATTCGTGTTATTTTTTCCCCCCAAATAAATGACACTTGGGTCAGTTGACAAAAGCTGTAATATGCTTTTAAAGATTTTGAATCCTACCCCACAGTCAGAGCTCTGTTGCAACGGTATTAGGATACAATCTGCCAGCACATGGGTCACCATCATTAGCCATGCTGGCCACAATCGCACTGTGGCCTGTCTTTTAATTTTCCATTTATGAAGGAGAATGTGGCCACGCAACCCAAGCTATGGACCATCTAGCAAACCGCTATAATCTGCACTCCTTCAATGGAGAAATAGCAAGACGACACGAACTCTCTCCTGAAGCCCTCTTGTGGCTAGCAGACCTTGACATTGGCATTTACAGCCTTAATATATTGCCATGCACAAGAATATAATAATCAGTTATGATCAATTCACGACTGGATGAAGGCTTCCCCAATGCACGGCCATCGCTCATGGTTCTTTGGTGCGAGAATCCACCCAGCACCTGCACACGAACTAAATTCATCATTCCATCTCTGGGGTGGACGATCCTCTGGAGTGCGTTCCATCCATTGCCACGTGGCTATTCCTGGAGATTTGCAGCAATAAACATGAATACCTAAGGTTGCCCAGGCAGCAACATTTGCACAAAAATGCCTGTCGACCGTAAGTTGAACTAGTACAGTGTTCTTGATTGCAAGGCCCGCGGGCCACTGGCGGTCCCTGGTGGCCTTTAGTGCAGCCCCTAACGTGCGGCCCCCAACAATACAAAAATGCGAAAACAACTCATTGCAGTGTGGCGGCCCTCACACTGATGTCTTAACAGCGAAAGTGGCCCCCCTCTGAAAATTGGTGAAGAACACTGAACTCGTGGATGCAGTTTGTTGCTTGAGCTTTGTGTAAGCCTTAGGAACACGGGAATTAATTAGATGCTGGGAAGAGAAATGGTTTCGGTACGTTCCTGCATAAACAGCGGCATAGAGCTCTCAATGTTATAGAAAGTTGTATTGTGATTGTTATTGAAAAGTGCAGGTTCAATAGTGATGTAACCAATCCCTGTGTAACAAAATGAGTAACGTTCAGTCATGCAGAGTTCCTGTTTCTCAGTGTGTCCAAAAGTTGTAACACTGCGTTTGTATAAAAACTTCACTATACCCACGTAACTATATTTTATGCAGCTACCACTGTAAGGTAAAATTGTTCCTTCTGTTTCAAGGAGTGCGAGAACAGCCAAGTGAATGCATCCAATTTCAAAAAAATTCTTAACAGTTGGGAGGCGTGACATAATAGGAAATAATTTGAATTGTACAATCGGTGGCAGGCTAATAGTTTAGCCTTTGCTGACGTGTGTACATATGCCACCTCTGAAGGATCTCAAAATATACAGCTGCAACATTTGGATAGGAAAGCAGGCCCTGCGTGTGCTCAACTGAATGACTGCGCACTGATCTCATGTTCATTTTGACTCGCATGGATCAATCGACAACCCCATGTTCAGCCTCCCTCCACCTGCGCTTTACAAATACTTATTCGTGTGCACACCTGCGGACGGGTGTCTGGAATACTCTTTGAGTTCTTCGTCATATTATAAGCTTGAGCTGTGTACATAACTGTCCATGGTGTTGAGTGGTGGCACAGTGGTTAGCGCATTGCACGATGACCACAGAAAGCAAATCTGAAAAGGCCTGGGCTTCCCCCGCTTCACCAACCTGTACTGACCTGTGTAGTGAAGTATGGTCAAACTACCCTGGCATCGGGAGGCATTCATTCTGCAGTGGATTGACAAAAGGGTTGAGGTTTTTTTTTTTTAAATATCCCATCCACCCTCTTGCTCAATATTCTCAGTGGGCTCTGTTTCTGTTTAGGGGCCTGTATTGACGCTGGGAACATTTCACAATGAATGCTGTAGTCGAAATGTCTCTCGACTGTTAAATCAGAGGCTGCTGCTTTGGGCCTCAACTTGTTGCCTTGAGAATGCATATCCCTATAGCTGCGTTGAGTATAATCCCACGGCACCTTGGATTTATAAACCAGAAGGGGGGGAAACAAAGCCCCACAGAGCTGAAGTGAATGTGTCATCATCGCCCCTTCGCTCTGCTCCGGGTGGCAGGCTACTGGGCAAACGCAGCTCATGCTCTGCTCCGGGTACATTTGTGAGCAAGCATAGGCTGAGAGGAACAAAATGAATCGCATACCAATAATAACGGATATCGTACAGGCTAATTCATCACGTGCATTACGCTGGTTTTAGCAGGTGATATCAGTTTATTAAATAATTCTCACGTGGCGTTAGCACAAGGAGTACAAGCAGACGTGACATTATGAACCTATTCAGCCGATGTCTCGTTGCTTTTTATTTATGATGGAGATGGCTTTGCATCACAAGCCGTGTGTGTAGATGTTAGAAGTTCCTTCCGTGAACACATCTGCTACAAATTAGAGAGAGGTTGGATGTCACTGCTTCACGTAATATCCCCCATCACAGTCTTTAAACGCCAGCTATTAACATGTAAAACATGTTTCACATTGCTTGGAGATCTTGGTTTCTGAGCTACTAATGATTGAGGATTTGAAGAAAGCAAGCCTTGTTCAGCTCGTAGGTTAAAAGGCTGGCCTGTTTTCTTTTTGTTAATCCAATAAAATTCCTAAATTAAAAGTAACATAATTGGGGAAATGTTGTTCCCTATTTTTCCATCTTACCGCGAGCAAAATGCTCTTGTTGTTTTCTGTAAGAGTAACCGCTAACTCAAGTGGACAGCCTTCGAGTATTTTTAGACGCATACTAAATGTTCCGTAGCTTTTCATTGCTCTTTTGCTCTTGGTTTTTTCATTAAAGGCGAACAAAAGCCCGACGTGAGCAGCATGCTAGCCATACGCGGTGCACCAGCCGCCCCTCTGGCACCCGTCACTTATTGACGAATAAATAAAATTAGGTTTCTGTCCTAAAGGGCGCTTGCATTGATATTTGGATTTTTATTTTTTGGTCGCTCCGCTTATTTTATACGTGCGGCGTATGAATACGAAATCGTTTCTGCTCTTGTCGGTTGATTAATTGAATCCTCGTCAAGAAAGGGTCTGGCTGGAAGAGTGAGAGAATCGATTATTTGATCGCCTGGTTAACATAGGGAAATCAAGGGTATGTTGCGTAAGTTGACAATTAAGCTGTATTGATATCGAGAGCAGGTAGGAATGCATTTGGGAAGCTGAACTTTACGATGTGAAACAGTACCAATTTGTTTAAAGATAGACGTATTTAGTCAGTATTTAGTACCTGCACTGACAGGGTTCACAAAAACATGAAAATTCATGAAGAACATGGGACAAGAGCTGAAAAGTTCACTAAGATTCATGGAGAGATCCACGCTTGGTATTACCCTGAGAGACAGAATTATCAACATATGGATATAGCCAAGGGAGTGGAATATATCTCAGATATGATGTAACTGTGAAGTCAGGTCGTTTGCAGGCCCAAGTTGGAATGTTCGATTCCATGATTGTGTAAATGATGATGACGATTTTGGGGGGAGACTTTCATCCAGCAGTGTTTTGATAAGTTCTAGATTTAAAGCTTTCGTGACTGCAAGGATCCATACTCTTTGGTTCTATTCGGTAAAGTCACGTAGGTAAAAAATAAAACAACAAAAAGGTCCAGTTCAATACAGTACGCAAAATTCGTGATCCCATCCGTGAAGGATGTCATTCCTGACTTACAGTACCCCGGGGTTTACAAATCGAGTTGTACCTGCGGTGATTGCTATATCGGGGAGACAAAGCGACATGTCTCTGACCGAATTCGCGAGCACAAATCAGATTTGAAACACGGCAGAACGAATTCTTCTGCCGTAGCTGATCACTGTTACAACGCTGTGGGTGATCACGATATAATTTTCTCCGATACCAAGGTTCTTTGCAAACCCACGGGGTTTTTATCAGAGATTTGTTAACGAGGCAATTCAGATCTACAAACACAGACACAATTTCAACCGAGAAGATGGTTTCAAATTAAGCAACCATTGGAAAGGTGTTCTAAATCGAACCAAACATTAAATTAATTTTCAATGGTGCAGTATATTTTTCAAGTAAAGGTACCCCAAACTTTTGCAGCTCTTAAAAAATTCCCTTTTCACACCATCAATAGGTAAACTCCCTCTCCCCCCCGCGCCAACCGGCATGTTCACCCGCATGTACACCACCTCTACACCGTTCATCATGCTAAGTCGGCTAATCAACTGCTAATTTTTATGCTAATTCCTTTGTCAAGGCACCTTGTTTCCTCGCACACAGCTTAAAGGTCGCGGTCTGAGCGTGGCTGTGTTTCACTCCAGCGCTGTCCTTGAGACAGCCTGGTCCCTTCAACTGATGAAGGCCGCTTGTGTTGTGGCCGAAACGTCGTGATTTTTGTTGTTTTATTTTTTTACCTACGTGACTTTACCCAATAGAACCAAAGAGTACGTTTTGATAAGCTTCGACGATGTCGTCGAGGTTAGCTGCTCGTCACTTGCCCTCGGTGGCGTGGCGTGCGAACCCTGAGCTGGCCGTGTCTGCCCCGCAGGCGCCCTGCCCTCGAGCGTGCGGCCCGAGCTGGAGGCAGTGTTCCGGGGGCCCCCCCTGGAGCAGCGGGGCCCCGACCCGCGCTCCTCGCTGCACCAGCAGCTCAGCATGGACATGGAGATGCTGCGCCGGAACCACCAGTTGCAGCAGCAGCTGCTGCTCGCCGAGTTCCAGCGCAAGTACCAGGAGATGAACCAGCAGCATCAGTCCGAGCTGCAGGACCGCCTGCAGGTATAATACCGCGTTGCCCAGCGGGGCGCTCGTCTGCTCGTCGATGATGAGCCTTTACGAATCGAGCGATTCGCTGTCCAGCGTGCGCAGTGTCGGTGCATTGTAGGGGCACGACCCTCCATTGATTAAATAACGAGGACTTGGCGAAGTGTCTTTTTTGATGCACCGTAACCCAGCTGCTTTGACACACACACACACACACAGCGGCTGTTTGTGACTACGTTTGCTTGCCTTAAGGTGCTGGCGCTGCGACAGCAGCAGGAGTTGTTGGAGAGGCAGTTGATGCAGGAGCAGGAGAGAGATCGGCTGAGGAAAATGCAGCAGCTGGAGCTCAATGCTATAAAACGCAAGGATAAGGACCAGAACAGTACGTCTTTGCAAACACACCCACGCATAACCTTGTTCGCATCCACCTGGGCTCATTAAACTCGTGCCACGGTGCAATGTCTTCTTTTCTTCCTCTGAGCAAAAAACATGTTTTGGCATTAACAGCAAATAACGTGAAGTTTTTTTGGTTTGCCCTTACGATTATTATTGCAGCGCAAGAGGGGGGAACAGAATGTCCCACCTTACAAACATGTCGGTGGTTTCATCTCCAATGGTGGTTATTTTGCACAGATACAGCTGTGGGACCCTCGGCCAGTTGCGCACCCACATTTGGCATTGGTGGGCAAGAAAGCTCTGCATCCTAACCACGTTGTTCGCTTTTCAGGTGCCGTGGCCAGTCCTGCCGTCAGGAAACACCTCCAGCAGTTTGTCAAGAGCAGGTGAATGCCACATATATTTCCAAATGTGTATTTATCATTCACTTTGAATGCACTGGGCATTGATGCAAGTCACACCTTCTTCTTCTTGGTTATTTCGGTAAAGTCACCACGTAGAATGGAAATAATATAATAAAATTAAAACGTTATAAAATAAAATTCTCACGACGTTTCGGCCACAACACAAGTAGCCTTCCTCAGGTGAAGAAACAGAACTGTCGGGAAGATCTACGCCGACCCAGCTTAAAAGATGCTGCCAAGCTTAGCAGTGTTCACTGAAGCGCTGTCTTCCCGACAGTTCTGTTTCTTCACCTGAGGAAGGCTACTTGTGTTGTGGCCGAAACGTCGTGAGAATTTAATTTTATTATGTTTTATCTTTGTTATTTTATTTCCATTCTACGTGGTGACTTTACTGAAAGAACCAAGAAGATGAGAATCCCTGCAGTCACGAAAGCTTTAAATCGAAATCACAGCTTCTTGTTTTTTTTTACTTTTTAACAAGAATTACATAGAGATCAAGTCACCTGGATTGCATCCGATCTCATTAGGCCTCAGAAGCTAAGCAGGTTTGAGCCCGATTGGGGCTTGAATGGGCAACCACCATGCATAAATAGGTGGTTAGTTTAACACGTCGGCTTTCGCGACCAATATCATCCATAATAGAGGTTTTTGGGTTTGATCGCGTAAATATATCAACAACAACACAGTACTCAGATTGTAAATGTTGTGGCTTGGCTCTCCAACACACCGGTGTGCTGTTCTAATGACGAATTGGCATGTTCTGTTTACATGACAACCCTTACTAGTTGGCTGTGTCGGGTGGTGGCGGGTTTTAACGACACATTTACGTGATGTAACCCAAAAACCTCTATTAAATAGGTGTTTAAATTTTATTTAAAGCTTTCGTGACTGCAGGGATTCATATTCTTGGTTCTTTCGGTAAAGTCACGTAGAAGAGAAACAATAAAATAATAAAAATATAAAACAATAAAATTCTCACGACGTTTCGACTGCAACACAAGCAATCATCATCAGGTGTGAAAACCACAACAAGAAAATTTGAAGAATAAAAATAACTGCCACTTTTTTCAAAATTTCTTGTTGTGCTTTTCACACCTGATGATGATTACTTGTGTTGCAGTCGAAACGTCGTGAGAATTGTATTGTTTTATATTTTTATTATTTTATTGTTTCCCTTCTACGTGACTTTACCGAAAGAAACAAGAATATAAATAGGTGGTTGTTGGCTGCTTCGGGGGTTACTTTGTGGGCAGTGGAGGGCAACGCAGGAAACTCCACAATTGTACCGCATGTCCTCGCGTCCATTGCTCCCCACCTTCACCAACTCACACTGACCGCCTCGGTGACGTGCACGGCACTGAAAAGAGGTCCTCATCAAGCAGTGGACTGGCAAAAGATCCCTTGCATGTACACGTACGACAAGAATCGCGTCTTAGTTGTGTTCACCTTTGTTGGAAACTGCATTGAGAATGTACATTACAAACGTTCATCCGTTTCCACATCCCCTGGACAGGTTAACCTTGTGTGGTCTAAACACTAAACACTTTTTATTTTACCAGGTAAAGCCAGCCCACTGAGCTCTCTATAGCTCTTTTTCAGAAGCGACCTGACCGCAAATCATAGCTCAACGAAAGTGACTTATCGCGTGGAAATTTACAGCTGCCAAATACTCTAAACGCATGTTTCTAAATGTGGAGGGAAAAACTGGAGGACCTTGAGAAAAATGTACGTGACCATAGGGAAAGAGAACATGCAAACTCCCAATATACAGCAGGCGTCAGGGTCAGGATCGAACAGACGACCTCCTAACGCGTCTCTAACCCACGTCTATATAAACCCCCCCCCCCCCCCCCACCGCTGTGCTCCATCAACGGTCATCCTACAAAGCAGTGGCAGCGAGTGCCTTGTAAAGCGTGCGCTGGGTTCCTCTGGCCCACGTGGCCAGGGGGTTGCGCTACCACGCCTGATGACGCCATCGTCTCATTGCAGGCAGCCCCGTGAGTCTGGCACGACCATCTCACAGGGCAATGGATCAGGCCCCACGGCACTAGGGGGACCCAGCACATCCGAGGGCAGAGGCAACTACCCCCTCCGCAGAATAGGTACGACGAACCCGATCACGCTCCTTTCGTTGCCACGCTGTTGTTAATGCGTCGTTCTTATTTTTGCTGGCGTTTTTTTTGGGGGGGGTGTTAAAATAAATTTTAACACGCAATTATAATTGCAATAACGTACTTTCAATTCTTCTGTGGTCTCTATTAAATTTTGACTTTGACAGGCGCAAGTCTAAATTGCCCTCATTGCCAGCAGCGAGTAGTGTTCGAAAGCTGTATTTAAATAATGAATGCATTCAGTGTAATATGAATCAATTGGCGAATCAATCACACAATTGTACCAATGCCAACTCCTTTAAGCAATCAATTTCTCTCTCGTCATTGCTTTAATTTCACCTGCCGACTCGCAATTCACCCACTGACTTACGCCTTTGGTGCGCGATGCCAGCCTCGGAACCCATCCTCAAGGTGCGCTCCAAGCTGAGACAGCGTGTAATCGAGATGCGCTACACCCCGCTCCCACTGAACTCCAAGCCTCTGTGTGACGCCTCCGCGGGGAGGAAGCCTGCAGAAGGGCTGGGTACGTCCGCTCACCCTCACAAGTGCACAGACGCGGCTTTCATTCACCCGCCGGTCACGCTCCCCAGCCCTGCAACCACCACCCAGAGGCGGCAGGGCAGCCGTGTGTGTGTGTGTGTTTACGTCCGTGTGAGAAAAAAACGATGGCTGACTCCTCAGAACATCGGTTGTGAAGTTTGGGTCATTCTGTCTGCGGAACTCTTATTATCAGCCCATGTGTGTATGACTATTCACTGTTGCTTCTTCAGGACACTTTGAGCTGTCCCCGGGTAAGTGCTCTTGCAATTTTGAGCTCTTTGCAGCGCCTTGCGGAACAATAATCCTCAAAACCAGCTTAGAATTCAATGCCTAAGCCAGCAGAGAAATCTCTCCGTTCATTAACATTCAATGGCTTCATTAAAGCAAACAAACACACATCAGGGATTGTTTATAATGCCTCGTGAATGGAAATTGACTCAATCAAACTAATCCTGATTGAAATAAAAGATGTGAAATTGTTTTAATTGTCTCTCTGTGCACACAGGGTGTCTGTCTGCCATCATTTTGCGCCAATGTGCTTCTATAAATAAAACTATCTATTTACAATTATTCCTCCGTTTTAATGCATTCGATAAGTGTTGCCCAATACACTTAGAAGTAATACAGAGTAATTGTAGTGCAAAATCATATCCCCTAATTAGCCCACAGTGTAAATATGCCGAGACGTAGATTAATTACCATTCCCACATGACACTGTTTTAAACCCTCCATATGAATATTAAGCGGCAAGTGCCTGCTTTCCCAGTGTGTATTGCCCAAACAAATTGGTCTTATGATTATTTATGACCTGTACCGTAAGCTGCCAGCTCAAAAGAGAGCACTGTAAAATAGAAGATTAACACTCCGATAGATACCATGAGGCTACGGCTCAGCACGTTGGAAAATACTGCTATTTGTATTGCATTTCCGGGAAGGGTTGCTTCTTATCATAATCAGCTCATTGCAGGCTTCAGTCGCCTCTGCCCCCCCTTACTGCTGGGCTGGCAGTGTTTTCCTTTTACAGTAAATGTATAAGTGGAGAATGTTAAGTAACCTTTTAGCCTCTGGTCGTTGAGAGTAAATATTCTAAAAACCAGTTGCATGTGGTTAAGGTTTAATGTGTTTAATCGTTAACATTTTTTGTTGTTAAAAGAATACCCTATTTTATGTCTATTTGTGAGCGCTGTGTTTGTCAATCTTGAGAACTAAGGTCATTCACCAGTACTCTTTGTCAGCGCCTTGCTCACAAAAGAGGAGTGGTAGTGTTGTTAGAGGTTAGCGCACTAGTGCTATGAACCCGACAACCAGAGTTCGCTTTTCTGCTCATGACCAATAACAGTGGTGAGTATTAGACCAGTCCTGGGCCTCCCCTGGGTCTGCTTAGCCTTTAAATTAGTACTTAGTGCGGTGAGTAAACATTAACACTGGAAAGACAAAGGCAGCCGGGCGTGGTGCTAGCTGCCCTACTCCGCTCGTGTGCCGTGCCGGCCTTCATAGGCGCTCCCTCACAGCACTTGCCCCCAGCGGTCTGTTAAAGCCTGTACGGGGAATCTTTATCGATGTATTTGTTCACCATGGGGTGTATTAATCGCCACCTTTACTCTGACAGGCAGGGACCAATGCAGAGTGTTGCGTGAATTTCACCCAGTGAATATGCCCTAGCTCTGGAACTCGCAGTTGTAACCTTAGTCACTTCAATTACCAAGCTGTGGTTATCTATAAAATAACTTCGCATACAGTGCAACAGAAACGGTACAAACGGTCCCAAATACCATGCCACCGTCGTAGGAAACTGCTTCTTTCCAGATGTAAATAAAAATGCTGTTGCGAATTAACAGGGGTAAACTCCGAGGAAATCAGATAGCGAGGTGCATGGTGTGCAGTGATGTTGTGTGATAGCTCAGCAGTTGGACGTAGGCCTCTCCACGTCCATGGGGTGGGACGGACATACAGTGAGGGAAAAAAGTATTTGATCCCCTGCTGATTTTGTTCGTTTGCCCACTGATAGAAATGATCAGTCTATAATTTTAATGGTAGGTTTATTTGAACAGTGAGAGACAGAATAACAACAACAAAATCCAGAAAAACGCATGTCAAAAATCTTATAAATTGATTTGCATTTTAATGAGGGAAATAAGTATTTGACCCCTCTGCAAAACATGACTTAGTACTTGGTGGCAAAACCCTTGTTGGCAATCACAGAGGTCAGACGTTTCTTGTAGTTGGCCACCAGGTTTGCACACATCTCAGGAGGGATTTTGTCCCACTCCTCTTTGCAGATCTGCTCCAAGTCATTAAGGTTTCGAGGCTGACGTTTGGCAACTCGAACCTTCAGCTCCCTCCACAGATTTTCTATGGGATTAAGGTCTGGAGACTGGCTAGGCCACTCTAGGACCTTAATGTGCTTCTTCTTGAGCCACTCCTTTGTTGCCTTGGCCGTGTGTTTTGGGTCATTGTCATGCTGGAATACCCATTCACGACCCATTTTCAATGCCCTGGCTGAGGGAAGGAGGTTCTCACCCAAGATTTGACGGTACATGGCCCCGTCCATCATCCCTTTGATGCGGTGAAGTTGTCCTCTCCCCTTAGCAGAAAAACACCCCCAAAGCATAATGTTCCCACCTCCATGTTTGACGGTGGGGATGGTGTTCTTGGGGTCATAGGCAGCATTTCTCCTCCTCCAAACACGGCGAGTTGAGTTGATGCTAAAGAGCTCCATTTTGGTCTCATCTGACCACAACACTTTCATCCAGTTGTCCTCTGAATCATTCAGATGTTCATTGGCAAAATTCAGACGGGCATGTATATGTGCTTTCTTGAGCAGGGGGACCTTGCGGGAGCTGCAGGATTTCAGTCCTTCACGGCGTAGTGTGTTACCAATTGTTTTCTTGGTGACTATGGTCCCAGCTGCCTTGAGATCATTGACAAGATCCTCCCGTGTAGTTCTGGGCTGATTCCTCACCGTTCTCATGATCATTGCAACTCCACGAGGTGAGATCTTGCATGGAGCCCCAGGCCGAGGGAGATTGACAGTTCTTTTGTGTTTCTTCCATTTGCGAATAATCGCACCAACTGTTGTCACCTTCTCACCAAGCTGCTTGGCAATGGTCTTCTAGCCCATTCCAGCCTTGTGTAGGTCTACAATCTTGTCCCTGACATCCTTGGAGAGCTCTTTGGTCTTGGCCATGGTGGAGAGTTTGAAATCTGATTGATTGATTGCTTCTGTGGACAGGTGTCCTTTATACAGGTAACAAGCTGATATTAGGAGCACTCCCTTTAAGAGTGTGCTCCTAATCTCAGCTCGTTACCTGTATAAAAGACACCTGGGAGCCAGAAATCTTTCTGATTGAGAGGGGGTCAAATACTTATTTCCCTCATTAAAATGCAAATCAATTTATAACATTTTTGACATGCGTTTTTCTGGATTTTCTTGTTATTCTGTCTTTCACTGTTCAAATAAACCTACCATTAAAATTATAGACTGATCATTTCTTTGTCAGTGGGCAATCGTACAAAATCAGCAGGGGATCATATACTTTTTTCCCTCACTGTAGTAACAAAGTGCGTGCGTCTCTTCTCCCGTGTAGACGCTCTGCCATCCGACAGCGCCCCGGGCTCTGAGCAGAGTTCACCCAACAGCAGCTACAGCAACATCGTGAAGCTGAACGGCACTACAGGATCTGTACCCAACATCCACGGAGAGGTCTGCACACCCACACACCTCCTCCGCACTGCACGTATCCCGTTGTGTTCTCATGCTGCTGCTGCTGCTAGCGTGCGTTGGGCCCTCTACCCATTACGTTTGTGAGACCGCGTGCTCCCACGCGAGACCGCGTTCGCCTGCTTCCCCCGGCCTCTCGGCTACTCCCATGCACGCGACGAGACGCTCCGACTTCGCAGGGGGCATTGAATCACTACATCTTTGTGCGTGTTTATTAGGCAGCAGCGGACATTCATCGTGGATTGGCGTGCGCCTTTTCACAGAGCCACTCGATGCTCACAGTAGTGCATGGGGCAAAAAACTCGCAGAGAAGAAATACTCGACGCACGGTGAAACCCGGAATGATCACGCTTCACTGTCCAAATAAATTAGCTCTTTTGACACACTGATTGTGTTATTCATTGGAAGGCCCCACTTGGTGTACCTGGTTGAAAAGAGCACATCGTAAAAACGAATGTATCCGTGGTCAGTGACTACAGCGTAATTTTCCCAACAGCCCTCATTTCTAGTGTTGTGGAATGACACCGGACTCCTGCCATGTTGCTTTTTTACCACTCTTTGCGACCACATGGTTTTTTTTGGAAATTCTCAGCCAAATACAATGTTTAAGTTATAATGAAAAAGGCAATGCGTTTGTTTTTATCTCATCAGAATAAGCAGTCAATCCATGGTACAAACAATGTTATTTCAAGACCGTTTTGCAATATATCCAATATTTACATTGACAAGTTCCGGGTGTTTCACCCAGCATCCTTTTGACTAGTCACCTTATAAGCCAAGCCGTGTTTGTCCAATATTAAACAGGGCTTGCAGAACGACTGCCAAAAGAGAGGTTAGTCATTGTTGTACGCGGGCTATTTTTACTCGCTTTTGTTTGCCCAGCAACTGTAGACCATTGTCGACTTGGCAATTCCACTTATTGTGCTGTTTACGTGCATAACTGTGAAAGCAAGCGCGCCATTATTTCTATTATCACTCAAAGCGAGGCGCAGCACGCCTCCAGAAGCTCAACGCCTCCTCTGTATTCTCGGCGTGCGTTGTGCCCCATGCTTTGGCAGCACGGTTCTGCGGTCAGGGGCCGGACAGGACCGACGGCAGCCGTGCTGCCGTTGTGCAGGAGGAGAAGGCGCATTGGGCTTGTGTACGCGCTGAGCTAGCTGTTAGTACCCCCCCCAGCCTCCTCCTCTGCCCCCCTTCCCTTTTGCCCCCCCCCCCCCCCACCATACATCGTTGCCTGCCAAACTCACGCTGGGCGTGCCAAGCAACACGGAGAATGGCTTCATCTTTAAACATCTTCAGAGCTCGTGATGTTCAGAAATATATTGTTTCGGAGTAAATAGTGTCATCGTTTTTTGTTACGCAATTTTAAGTCGATTTACTCCCCCACTCTCATTATTTCCTGCTCTGCATTACAGTTAAGAGAACCGTAAGTTCAATAACGTAATGTATAAGGGCTCTAAAGCACCAAAACAGTAACTTTAATAGAAATAAAGTTGATCCATGCCATGCATGAATACACAACGTCATGAAAAACATTCAGTGAATGTGCCCAGGTAAGCCATCATTGAAACATTTATCACAGTAATCTCCCTAACAACTTGCAGTTACCGCATATTACATCTTACACGCTTTGAGAAATACGATTTAAAGGAAGCGCTTCAACAAATGCAGTGCTGTGGTTTCGGTTGACAGAGAAGTGCCTATGAAAACTGTGACTGGCCTCAGTGTATAACACCAGCTGTTCTTTCCCGCAGCACGCATTGGCGTTGGCAATAAACCGGGAGCAGTCCGTGAGTCACCCCAACCTATTCACATCTCCATCCCTTCCGAACATCTCTCTGGGCCTCCCGCAGTCCCCATCGCAGGTATGAGTGACATCGGCCGTGCGTGTGTATGTGTTTACTTCCAAAGGCGGCCGGGCGTGGTGCTGGCCACCCACCCCGTCGTGTGCCTTGCCGGCCTTCATAGGTGCTCGCTAACAGCACTTGCCCCAACAGTGTTTTAAGGCAATGCGGGGGATCTTTGTCCTTTGCGGTTGGTGCAACAGCTAAGCCAGGCATAGGTGAGATCTTCTCCAGAGCACTGTGCTAGTTTTAAAATAGTATCTCTGGACTCTAAGAGATAATCTTAATATTAATGCAACTTAGCTTCTCATTAGGCAACTTATGCATAAAAAGGAGCACCCTTTCGGCAGATACTTTACCATTAATTATCGACAGCCTTTTGATCGTTCACCTCTAGTGCATGTATCGTTAAACCTGTGATACGCTGTGTTTACTTGATACGTTCTGTGTAAATGAAAGTCGGGGTTGAGTGTGAGCTCGCCTGGACAATTGGACCGCTGGAGAAAGAGCATCAGCGACATGCGGTGCGAGCACACTTCGAGTGCCTGCGTGGCTGGTGTCGCGAATAATGGCGGGGTTTAATTAGACGTCAACTAAAAATATCTCTCACAGTGTAGTATCGATTGAGGACGTACGCCCATTAGAAGCTCCTGAGACGATGGGAAGAAGGGAGATTGCTTCCCGATTGAGTGGAGAATGCTCTTTATGTCTTGTTTAAAGGCCCAATTATTGGCAGTTTTTATCTCGTATAAAACACGCGCGTCTCAAGTGCACTCTTTTGCGGTGTTTTTAGTGTCACACCAAAAACACTCCTCCAATAAATTTCACAACTTACATTTTACGCTGTACAGCAAGTCGTGCAAAAATGTCACACCCGCACACCAAGAAATCGTTAACGCCTAGCAAATTGTGCCGTAGCGTCATCACCATTCATGCACGCCCCGCGTGAGGAAGTGCAAGCCACACATCTTGCAGCGGAGCTCACGTGTGAACAGTGCAGAAACGTTAAATGGGTCTCCAGACGGCCTCACCGTGGCCTCTATCGGTGTCCTCGGTGTGTAGACCTCACCGCTTTTGTCTCCTTGTGCCTCTCGCTATGTTGCACTGCTTTGGTTCTCCGCCTGGCGGGACGTTCCACGATCATGAATTGATAGGGTATTTCACATCGATCAGCGGCTTCAATACGCAAAGGGGTAGTAATGTTGCTTGCATATTCTTATTGTACGTTTAAATCAACTCAAATTTAAAATGGCCAATGAGAATGAACTGTTTCACCCCGCTCCACCTTCCTCCCGTGCCGCTGTTTTACATTTCGTTTTCCCTCTGATGTCTTGACATGTTAATCGCGGAGGGAAGCTCCCCTCGGGTGCGACGCGCCTTGGCTGAGTGTTGACCGCGGGGCGCTGTGCCTGTCCAGGGTGCTTCGGTGCTCAGCACGCAGCAGGAGGCGGAGAGGCAGGCCATCCTGGCAGTGCGCCAGGGCGGCGCCCTCACCGGCCAGTTCCTTGCCAGCACGCCACTGCCCACACAGCTGCCCCTCGCCGGGCCCGAGCCCGATGGCCAGCACAGCCTCATGTACCCCTACTTTACACAGTCGACGGCCACTCCACCTAAAGGCAAGACGTGTGTGTGTGTAGTGGGGAGCAGTAGTGTTGCAGTTAGCGCGCTGTGTTACGAACCCGGCCGCCCGAGTTCGATTCCCGCTCACGGCCAACACCAGCGACGGCTGTGTGAACCAGTCCTAGGCCTCACCTAGGTCCACTCAGCCTTACAAGACAATGGCAGCTAGGCGTGGTTCTGGCCTCCGACCGCTTCGTGTGCTGTCCTGTCCTTCGTTGATGTTAGCTCACAGCACTTGCCCAAGTGGCTGTTAAGGCTATACAGGGGATCTTTGTCTTTGTGTGTGGAATGATTGAGAACAGCGCTTGGCACAACAGTGTATGTAACCTGCATGGGGATCTTTGTTTTGTGGTGGAAAAAAGTGGATGGTGCTATGGGGATCTGTCTCAAACAAGTGGGCATACTGGAATTTCATTGTCTGTCAGCATCCTTCCTGTATAGCAATGCTTATTATTGTATGATGTTGCATTAATTCATTCAAATTTTCCATGTGGTCCTCACATTTGCATTTCGGGTATCTTGTCCTATGTAGCCTTATATTACTGTCAGTTAAACTCATCGTCATCGCACTCACGTTAAGTGAATGGTAATTCAACGTTAGTGACACTTTAATTTCCATTGCCATCACACCTACCATCACCACAATCGCCACCAACACGTCCATTGCGATCGCGACCACCACCATCAACGCCAACATCACCACCATCACAATCAATGCCACCACACCATCACCATGATCACAGCTCCCATCATCATTGATATTACCGCCAACTAGCCGTGGACCAGCCCCCGCAACATTTTTGACGTTTGTCAACTCAGGTTGAAAGTATTGATGTGCAATCTCCGACCATCTGTAGATAGGTCGTGGCATGGTAACTTTGATAACGATAATCCAGAAAGAACTGATTTCTAGTGTAGTGGGTTACACGGAGACACACACCTGACTTTGGAGGCAATACGTTTATTCTAACACCCCAACAGGGTGACTACATAAACGTACGGGATAACGACATAGGTGGCAACTACCACGGGTAACCAGACCCCAACGGTATAACTACATAACCGGGCCAGGTTAGTAACATACTGCCTCACCCACGATGCCAAACGTGACGACCGCAGATCGAAGAGACGTAGCACGGCGGGTTACATTCCAGAAGACATCCCCGATCGGCTCTCGGGAACTCTCTTATGCCCCTGAGCATGGCCTAGCTCCGCCCTCGGCCACACCCCCTTCTGGATCTTACTAGAAGGTATTGGGCCATACATCACGTGTCCCTCTCGCCACCTTTTGGCCCCCCTCGCTACCCTGTCCTGGTTACGTGCCCTCTCGGGTTAACCCAGACTGTCACGTCCTTAACTGACCTCTCTCTGACGGTCACCAGAACTATGCCCCCTAGGGCTCCCTTCCATGCCATACACACTCTGGTGCCAGAGAGAGGCTCTAACACGCACAGTTCCATTCTTGTATCAGTAGCTGGCGATAAACGCCATAGTGACTCAATATACATCACTACACTAGTATCAAGTTGTGTTACAATTCGGGACTTGCCCTAATAGAGAACAAACCACATTGACCAAAGGGTTACCCAAAACTTGGCAATAAAAGCCACCGCTAGAAGAATTACCCTTGTCGCTCAAGATGATTACGTTACGCGTCACGCACGCGCCTCACCTCCCCATGTCGTCATCGTGCGAGGTTATCCTAGGTCTGCGGTGACGCATCCCAACAACAAGCGCATTCGCCGCTCGGTGCAAAGGGTCACTATTCGAATCCAGCGGCCTGCAGTGTATTTACCACAATGATACTAACTTGCCGTCTGCTTCACAGCGGACGTTAAAGATCCCGTGATGTAATTCGCAAGACTAGGCCATCGTATGCCAGTGACAGGGTCAATATTTGCCAAATAAAAAACAATTGCCCTGTAAATTGCTCAATTGGGATTGCGCGTCGGAATCATCGCCCCCGACTGGGCACAATCATGCCCCAGGTCACGCTTGCAAATGAGACTCATCCTGGTCGCTTGAGTTCTCACCTGGTTAAACAAAATAAACTCGGAACTGTTTGAGCAATATACACTGCCTTTTATTTAAAAATTACTGCAGTTTACAAAACAAGTCTCCTCAAGGTCGAGCAGAATCTATATATATCGTATCTTCAGTACAGTGTATATCTGATTTGAGTAGGTTTGCGACGTTGGAAACTCCTTTTAAAGAGCTGCCCACATGGAGAATGCTGGGAACACACCACACTGGCCAGTGGCCTTTACTGGAAATACTGAGGCAGAGCAGTGGAAAACCACGGGCCGTGGTTTCAGTAGGGCACGCACTGCTCTCGTATCTGCAACAGACTGCCGTATCTCTAGCGTGTGTTTCCGATGGCATTCCAGCCACTGACCCGCTGCATTTGTTCACATTTCACGCCCGTGTGGGTCTGATGGCAATAAACAGAATCCCCTAGTAGTGCTCTAAGCAGTGATTATATATTTGTTTTTTTTACATCTAAACAGGTTCGATTACTTGGCTTTTCCTCTTAAAAGTATTCATCTTTTTTTTACGTTGAATCGTATAAAATATGATTAATTCTCCCTTCCTGTGCCTGATATCCAAGAATAATATTGTTATAGAGAAATGTGGCACAAAAGGCCTCTAACACTACACAACGTGAGTAATCACATAACCAGAAATGTAATTTGCTTATGCAGTGATAGAGTCACCACCATCATCAGCCATTATCATTCCACTGCTGGACAAAGGCCTCCCCCAGGGCATCCGAGTGCAGACCATAAAAAATAAATGTGCGACGTTTGCGTCATCCCTCGGGGACAATCTCCACTCGATCTGGCCAACCGCATCTCCACGTGGTGAGAAAGATCGCTAATTCTCCTCCACTGCGGCAACGTAGTTTATTGTAACCAGTTGACGCTGCAGCTGCCGTTGCTGCTGCTTCAACACCCTGGGTCCACGTGCACACGAGTGGCCCTCTGGCCTGCACGCTCGGCTGCACGCGCTGTGCCGTACGGCGTGTGCAGCTGAGGCTGGCGCGGCTGAGTGTTTGCCCTCTTCCACAGTGCACACAACTTAAGAGAGAGCACCGTTTCATCGGCCGGGCACACGGTGTCACCTATTGAGCCGTCTGAGGAGGCACTCTAAACTAAAACTAAAAAAATGCACTTTTATTTTACAAGGTAAGGTCCGCTGAGCTATATAGCTCTCTTTCAGAAGCAACCTGGCCACAAATGATAGCTCAACGAAGTGGCTTATCATGCGACAATATACAACAACCAAATAATCTAAATGCACGTTTCCAAATTTGGAGGGAAACACCGGAGGATAGCTAACATCTTGCCAGTCGTAGCAGAACAGTCCAGCGGGCATCACCAAATTAACATTTGGCCTAACTCGTGTTCAGGTGTGGGAGATAAAATCAGCTGCACTTGCAGTAATTTACAGCATGGTATTGTAAATGTTATTGAAGATTTACATTAAAGTTAAATATACACTGTGTGCTTACATTGAACCTAGACGTTAATGAATAAAAGCGAGTGAGAGACCGAAGTGACCAGTTCACTCGGGTAACAACGCGGAATCGGCACCTTAGAGATCCTGGGTTCGAATCAAGATTTCGGTTGCCTATGGTTTAATTGAGTTCTCAGCTGTAGTCAGCTGATGGTCTTACACCGGTTACCAATAACTGCAGAAATATACATCACATCTAGTTTTTCACTTAATTTTGTTTATTTCCATTTCTCAGAATTTTTTGTTGACAAATATCAGTTGTACTGCCATGTGATGAACATTGCTCTGTAAAATAGCACCCCCAAATAGGTATTTAAATGAAAAGGGTCACTTGGAGGGATCTCTGAAGCAGTTACGTGATATCTGCTTCAGTGGGCCATACAATAACACACGGTATCTTCACTCCACTGTGGGCCTTACAAATAGAGATACTTCATCTCATAACAGGGGCACTCATTTTACAGTATGAATAAAATCAGGAAAATGTAACAAAAGGGAGTGAGTAATTGAGCAGGTAAATAGATAACTGAGTGAATGAGTGAGCAAGTGAGTAGCTAAGCTATTGAGTGGTTGAGTGAGTGGGTGAGTGTGTGGTAGCGCTACGCTACGAACCCAACGACCCAAGTTCGATTCCCGTTCATGGCCAACACTCGTGACGATTCTTTTAACCGGTCCTGTTCCTCTGCTATGTCGACTCAGCCTCAAATGAGTACCTGGCCGGTGTGTAAACATCACCACTAGAGAGACAAAGGCGGACGGGCGTGGTATTGGTCGCCCACCCACCTCGTGTGCCATGCCGGCTTTTCTTGGGTGCTCACTAACAGCACTTGCCCCAACAGTATGTTAAGGCAATATGGAGGATCTTTGTCTTTGGGAGCTGAGACCTGAGTGTGGCTGTGTCCGTGTGTGGTGCAGGGCTCGTGGGCTGCGTGGGCGTGGTACCAGGTGTGGCCGTCGCCCCCCAGGCTGGCCTGCGCGCGGCTCCCACCCACCGCACTGTTAGCCGGACACACTCGGCGCCGCTGCCCCAGGCCCCCCAGGGCCTCCAGCACATGGTTCTCATGCAGAGGCACCAGCAGTTCCTTCGACGCCAGCAGCATCTTCAACAGCAGCAGCTGCAGCAGCAGCAGATGCAGCAGCAGCAGCAGCAGCGACAGCAGCTGCAGGTTGGCACGAGCGGGGTCATGGAATGTCAGAGGCATCGCACTTAGGGCAGCAATGGAAAGTACAAGATAAATGTGCAGCCCAGCAATTGCTTGCTGACGCCACTGCTGGTAGAAGGGCCTGCACTTGACAGAGCTCTCGGGTGCCGTTCTTCAGGATATTTTTAACCTACTCTTCGACACTGGCCAGATGGCCAAAATCCTGGAGACTTGGGTTTAATTCTCAACTGTGAATAACATTAGTGGCAGTTGGTATCTGAATGGGTCCTTGTCCTCCCGTAGGTCGATTCAGCCTTAAATGAAGACCTGGTGTGATGGGTTAACACCATCACTGGGGAGACAGAGGTGGTTGGGTGTGGTGCCGGCCACCCGGTACTGGACATGGTGCTGGCCACACTACCCCCTCGAGCGCCTTGCTGTCCTTGCTGACAGCACTTGCCTAAAAAAGTCTGTGTAGGCGACACGGGGGGAGGATCTTTGTGTTGCGGTATGAGTGTGCGTACATGTGCGCGTGTCCGTGTGCCTCCTAGAGCTATGACCATCCGCGGCTTGCGCACATGGAGGACGAGCTGAGCCCGCTGCGGCCTGCCTTCGGTCCCGGCGGCGTGGCCGGGGTCCCGCATCTGGCGGCGACGGTGGTGAGCGGCGGCCCCGGCCCCTCTTCGCCTCCCCAGATGGTGGCCATAAAGCAGGAGCCCCGGGAAGAGGAGGGGCAGCTGGGCGAGCGGGTAGACGAGAGGGAGCGGCAGGCGGAGGAGCAGCAGCAGGTGTTGCACACCAGACAGGTGAGCTGCAGCAGGAGCTTGAACTGGGACGGTTAACCGAGTTGCCCACAATTATGATTGGCTACTTTTTCTGTGGTCAATTATTTGGGCCCGTTTAAAAATGGCGGCCGCCACTACGTCCTTCTTTCGCAAAGTCACACCGAGCGTGACGCGAATGACGATACTAGTGATGTCACCGAGGCCGCCCATCAGCTCCCGTCCGGTGTTACATATGGGAACAGAGGTGTGACATTTTAAAAACATTTTCATGTTATCTGAGCAATCAAATAAATGCACCGATAATGTATGTTAAACTTTGTTCGCACCGTACGTAGCCAAGTGTGCAAATCGGAGGTGTGGGGGAAGGACAACAAACTAAATATAAAAGGGGTTCTAAAGAAAATATTTTTTTTTAATCTAGATAAGTGCATAGTTGCAGTGGCTTCTTAATATCGGAATGAAGAGCATTCCAGACGGGCGCAGAAGCGCTGCTGGTAGAGTAGTCAATTACTTAGTCCAGCTATAGGCTGGAACAATGCATCGATATATCGAATAATACCGATTTACAAGTCAATGATAAATGCAGCGAATGGTATGTGTGAAGATCTATGTTTTTTGATGCAATACATTGTATATAATTGGTTTGTTTCACCTGGCAGGCCCTAGAGGCACGACTACTCTCCATAAAGTAAGATAAAAAAATAATTGATCCTTGAATCTAATAACGACCTTGAATCACAGCGGCCCATCATATTGTCGGGAGAGTTATTGTTCCAGGCCGACCATTTTGCTGATGGCAGCAGCGTCACTGATGAACGGCACAAGGAAGGGGAGGCCGTGTTGTCCTGTAACGACGTCACTGCCCACGCCCCGCTCACAACCCAGAGCGATTCATTATAATGATAATGAATCATTATAATGAATCGCTCTGGCTGCGAGCGCCAACTTCCAATTTGCTAACATCCCCGACCTAACAATCAGCCGGCAGTCTATCGGCGGTGATTAATATGCCAGCGCTCGATTCAGAGCGGCACCCTTACGGCCATGCTCTGCGAGCCAAGTGCAGTTTATGTTAAAATAAATTAAGGAACTGTTTCGAGTGACGTTTATACCCTTCCAGTTTCTGCTGCCCAGGATTAAAAAAAAAAAAATGTGTATTGAAGCTTAACTTTTTTTTTTAGCAACGGCACTTGCAGTCACTGATGGAGCAGCCGGAGACGCCGTGGGGCCTGGGCGCGCACCTCCCGCTGACGCGCGCACGCTCTTCGCCGGCGCACTACCCCTCTCCCCTGCCTCCTGAGCCCAACCGGCCGTCCTTCTCCACCGGCACGTAGTGGCACACGCCGCTTAACCAAGCACACACGCGTTCTACAAATTCATGGTGTCTGCTGGACATCCGTGAAAAACTGGACATCTGTGAGAAAGAGCTTCATAGCTCATCGGATTCCTCCAGTATGAATAAACATTCTTATTCTGACCTCGCCCCGGTGTATAGGAAGTCGTGGGTTCCATCCTGTCCCCTGGCGCCTTATCTATATTTGCAGTTTGCTTGTCTCTGTCCCTATGTGGTCGCGTTGATTTTTCTCCGGGTCCTCCGATTTTTCCCTCCACCTTTAGAAACACGCGTTTCGAGTATTTGGCTGCTATACATTTACACGTGATGAGCCACTTCGTTGAGCCTGGTCGCTTCTGAAAAAATGCTATATAACTCAGTGGACCTTACTTGGTAAAATAACAAATAGTTGATAGCTAATATAGTTACGTATGTGCATGCACTTGTGTGCATGCGTGTGGTATAACGATAAGCGCTCGGCTTGAGGCGTGTCAGCACTTTCCTTGGCCTCCTCCCCTAGGTTGACTCAACCATAAATTAGTTTCTGGTGCCACGTGTGATCATGAGTACTCGGGAGAAAAAAGTGGTGGGGCATTGTTTCTGGTCACACCACCCTGCCATGTGCCGTTCCGGCTCGAATATGTTCTGTGTAACGGAACTTTTTTGAAGGGTCCAAATCGATATGCGTGGGATCTTTGTTATTTTTGCATGTATTTGTGCGTGTGATGCGTTCTTAAAAGTGCACAGAGTCTGGATCACAAGCATTGTGTTGCTACCACTGCAACTTAGTGGTGAATGTTGAATGAATGTTGCACGTACGAGTGGGCATTTACAGGATTATCATGCATATGTACAGCTCTTTGTCAATCCACTGCTGGATGCGGGCCTCTATATACAGCATGTGGGTTATTTAACCATCAGTGCGGGTTGGTGATGTGGGAGCGTAGGACCGTACAACAATGGATTTTGGTGCACCGACCTCTTTGCCCACAATGTAGCCCTGCTGTAGCATAGTACACTCGTATTACGCGCGATGGTTGCCCATCCAATTCCTCTTCATGCTCGAACCCACTTGGCTTTTGTGATACGACACGATCGGATGCGTTCCGGTTGACGTGCTTACACGCACGAGTGCAGTCCAATCGATCACCCTTGGTGCCGTTCACCAAGTGACACCGTGTGCATTGCAGGCGTCGTGTACGACACCCTGATGGTGCGGCACCAGTGCAGCTGCGGCGACGACAGCAACCACCCCGAGCACGCGGGGCGCATCATGGCGATCTGGGCGCGCCTGCAGCAGACGGGGCTGCTCAGCAAGTGCGAGGTGAGACCCCCCCGCCTCCCCGTGGTTCAAGCCTGACCCCCGAATTGGGGGAGCCGTTTTCTCGGCACAGGAGTTACGTTCTGCCGCAGTAGCACTACGTTGTCCCCACGTCGGTCCACGCGCTAACCACCTCTCGCCGCACGTTAACCCTTTCTCATTCCGGCGACGTACGTCTACGTCATCAAAACAAAACCGGAATAAAAAATAAAATAATTTGTATTGGTACCGAGGCTCCCACAAAGCCGTGCGGGAGGGCGTGTGGCACAGTTTTTAGCGCCCACTGTCACAGAGTGCAGTCGTGTCGCTACGGTTTTCTGCGGTGAGTACATTTGAATGCGCTATACCTCTAAATAAAATTAACGCTAACCGCTTGCGCAGTCCGTAATTCAGCAGTGAACGGGACCCAACTTTCAACTTGCAGAGGTCTCGGAACGGAAAACGGTGAATATGGGCGTTTGTGCTTTGGGCAAAAATGTACTAAGATGGATGATGGGGCGATTATGTCGTGCTGCGTTGTTAATTTGGTTGCTTATTACGTGTGTGATGGTGCATCTCTTCACCGGGTAAGATGTGTTAATTAACTGACGATGGATGCATTAAACCGTGCATATAACCATCGATTGTGTGCAAATGTGTGCATGTTTTATGCTGATGCTACAATTAGTGGGAAAGTACAGACAATAGTATAAATGGGAAATAGCATAGGAAAACAGGCAAAGCGACCAAGAAGACACAATACAAAATTAGATGGTAAGATTAATATGAAAAGAATTACACGATTGAATCACTATGTGGATTAAGCGTTACATGCTTGGTACTTATATGGTCAAATTATGTGCTTAAGTGACTTTGTAATGGTGCTCTCCCTACTATGTGCCAAGAGTACCCTTGTATTGAACATGAATATGTTTCACCGTGGTTATAAATAGAGGTAATGATGAGTGAAGGAGAGCTAGGGGGCTGGTTGGTGCTGGTTAACAGCGGCCGTCTGGCAGGGTCCCTTGGTCTGTGTCTCTGTTGGGGCATGACCCTGTGCTTGGCTGTAGCCATGTGGTTACGTCATCGAGTCAACCGAGTGTGGGGCTGTCCCCATTGCAGAGTTGGGCACCCTGTGGCGCATTTGCCAGAATCGGCACTCGACTTCGTGTGCCCGTTATTTAATTTTATATGGCGCGTGACCACCTTAGCCCTATCACTATGAAGCACTATATTTATTCGTCTTAGAAAGCTTCTTAGCCGCACGAATCGGATATTTGACCTGAGAACAACACTGTTTTGTCATTTTAGCATGCCAATTCACTGTCTTGTTACTGCAAAGGTCCTTAGCAGAGACAGAAGGGACCGGATGTGTGTGTGTGTGTGCGCAAATGTGCGGCCTGCCGTAGGTATTTTAAAAGTCCTATTCGGGGGCTCAGAAAGAAGGCTCCCAACGTCCATCCCGTGCGGATCCACGGCCATCACCAACGGCCGGTGTGTGTGCGTGCAGGTGATCGCGGGGCGCAAGGCCTCGCTCAAGGACATCCAGACGGTGCACTCGGAGCTCCACGTGCTGCGTTACGGCACCAACCCTCTCAACCGCCAGAAACTGGACACACAGGGCCTGCTCGGTAATGTAGCGAGGAGGAGGAGGGGGCTCTCGGGCATCGGTCCCCGCCGCCGGTACCGGCTACCAGAGCGCGCGCAGGGGACGCCCCACAGCTTCTTCCTCTCGTTTCTCAAATTATACAGCGGCCAACCAACGTCTGTCCCCTTCCTCGTTAGCCAAGCGAGCCACTTATAAAGAAAGGATGTCCATGGAGCTTCCTAAAATAATCTGGGCTGTCGGCTTGACAGAGTGTGTGGTATGAGGCCGATAACGATTAACTTTGCCTCATCGTTCACGCTCTCTACTGCTGGACTCGATAGCTCAATATCCACCCTTCCCTTTCCACCTGATTCTGAATTTCTGGTGTGTTTTTTGTTATTAAATCTAATGTCAAATGCTCACCACTAACTTATTGGCATTCCCGATGGGGATTAGGGTTACATTAGGTCCGATCGCCTTGTCATTAGCCTTCGATTAAATATGAAATGAGAGAGGTGATCTATCCGCCGTTCTTCGTAATGCCCCAGGGCTCTCGCCATTCGGCACAATAGCGACGTCTTCGCCCAACCGTGTCGCGCTTGGCAAGAGTTGTTGCGGTTATCCCCCCGTGTGATGGGAGCGCGCGTGCGCGTTGTGTTGTTACAGACGCTCAGCCGACACAGCTCATGCTGCTGCGGTGCGGGGGCGTTGGGGTGAGTGGTGAAAGTGCACTGCAGGAGACGTGGGACACGCTCACCTGCACTCTCTGTTCTCACACCGAGCGTCGATGCCATTGGATAAAATGCACTTAACCCTTGCAAAACGCCTTGTAATAAGTATGTAATTGTTTTTTTTTTACGTATCGGTTACAAACGGAAGGTAGCATACACAGGACTGTGCACATGTGTATGTTGAACTTATTTCGCATCGTACGTAGCCAAGCGTGCTAATTGAAGGTGCGTAGGGAAGTCTAATAAAGTAAACACAAAGAGCAGTTCTGAAGATGTTAATTTTCAATTTAGAAAACAAATATGTTTCGAATTTTGATTTAAAGCTTTCGTGACTGCAGTAATTCATATTCTTAGTTTTTTCGGTAAAGTCACGTTGAAGAGAAACAACAAAATAACAAAATATATATAAAACAATAAAAAATTCTCACGACGTTTCGACCATAACTCAAACGGTCATCATCGAAACGTCGTGAGAATTTTTTATTGTTTTATATATATTTTGTTATTTTGTTGTTTCTCTTCAACATGACTACAGAAAAAACTAAGAATATGAAATATGTTTCGGTTTATTTAAAACCGTTATGAGACAAGAATGAGACGAGAAGTTAGGGAACACACAACAAAAACGTGTTGAGAATTTAATGATGAGGCTATTGGTTGTTACTTCACGAAGAGAGTAGCGCTTCTCAAACTGTTTCACTCCACGGCATACTTCCGAGCCTGCTCGAGCTTCGCCGCACGCCGATCCATAAAACCACCGTGGGCCTGGGTTGGTGGGGTGTGGTGGGTGGGGGTGGGGCGGGTTGGGGTGTGGTGGATGGGTTGGGGTGTTGTGGGTGGGTGGATGGGGTGGGGTGTGGTGAGTGGGTGGGTGGGGTTATGGGGAGGGGGGTGGTGGGTGGGGTTATGGGGTGGAGTGTGGTGGGTGGGGTTATGGGGTGAGGTGTGGTGGGGTTATGGGGTGGGGTTATGGGGTGGGGTGTGGTGGGTGGGGGTTATGGGGTGGGGTGTGGTGGGTGGGGTTATGGGGTGGGGTGTGGTGGGTGGGGTTATGGGGTGTGGTGGGTGGGGGTTATGGGGTGGGGTGTAGTGGGTGGGGTAATGGGGTGTGGTGGGTGGGGTTATGGGGTGGGGTGTGGTGGGCGTCCAAGGGTGGGGTCCAACTGCTGGCAGGCGTACTGCGCCAACGGAGAGGGGAGGGTGGCAGGTGGGGGTGGTGGGCAGGCGTGGATTGGTCACTGAACGGCAAGGAGGAGTGTTCGTCTGTCTCGCGTTTGCGAACAGTGAGGATGTTTCGTATAATTCCGAAAATACCACGGCACACCTGGGATGCTTGCGAAGCACTGCCCTGAGGTGAGGGCAGCCGCCACAATAGAGATTGATCAACAATTCTAGTATGGTGGATGAATCCTGTGCAGATCTCTCTCACCAAATAACATCATATAACCCAGGAAATAAATATTCTCTCAAATGAGCACGACGATGTTTCAGAGCTCGCACCTAATGTGGGTAACCACTGCCCTTAGCAGTATGAAAGATGGCAATGCTCCCAGCACGGATGGAATAATTTAGAGGCCAATAAACCACGCAACTAAGCTGAAATTTGTTTTCTACCATTGGCCACATACATACATTTCAGCTATTAGATTCTCAAATGAATATATCAAATACCACACATTATGTACTCAGGTTGTAAATGTTGTGGCTTGGCTCTCCAACACGCCGGTTTGCTGATTTCGTAACGAATTGGCATGTTCTGTTTACGTGACAAATCTTACTAATTGGCTGTATCGGGTGGTGGCGGGTTTAACGACACATTTATATTTACGTGACCTAAACCAAAAAGCCTGTATATGGACCACTCACTATTCCTGGCTTTTGTAGACTATGAAAATGTATTTAATTCAGTAGAAACTGATGCATTCAATCGGAGTCTTAGTAAAATATATTAATCTAGAAATTATCAATACCATATATAAAGATGGCACAGCTACGCTGAGGTCACTCGGAGTTGCAGCCAAAGGGAGGGATCAAGCCCAAGTGGATGATCACGTGTGTGCGTGCACGATGATGGATTGTGGCAATGCGGGACCGCAGAGAGTGGGGCTGACATTGGTCAGGAGGCCTTCACTCCTGCATTGGCTCGAACAGTGGGTGCCCAAAAGAGCTGTTTAGCTCAGTGGGCCTTACCTGGTGAAATTAAATCTGAGGCTCACTGTAAACCCTAAAAACTCTTTTTTCCGGACCACCTTGCACCAACAATATTTTTTTGTTTGTTAATTAAAACTACTCTAAATCGTCGTAACGGCAATCATTCCGTGGACCACATTCCCCCGGGCCTTGCAGATCGTCAGTGTTTTGTGGATCTGGGATAGAAAATGTCTTGCACACAGCTCACGACGACTGTCAAGAGTCTTGGCACACAGCTCACGCGTACGTGGACGTGCCTTACAGGTCGACAGCGACACGTACTGGAGCGACGCTCATTCGGGCAGCGCAGCACGCATGGCGGCCGGCTCCGTCACCACGCTCGCCTTCCACGTTGCGTCGGGGCAACTCAAGGTGCCAGCCAGCGCCTCTAGATGAGCAACCGTGGCACTCCTCTATAGTAGAGTAGAGTAGAGTTCCTCTACCTGGAGGTGAAATCACCATAATGATTTGGCATCATTAGAGAACAACAGCTCAACTGGAGAGAAAGCAAAAGTGATTGAATGATATTTAATTTTGTTGTCATGCCCCCTGTCAATTGCGTGCAATCCGATTGGACCTGTTTGTTAATACTTTCTTAAATAGTAAAAATAATCATCATTGCATAACGTTCCAGCAAACGACTGTGTTGTAACAGCAGGTGTCTCTTGTGTCCTCTAGAATGGCTTTGCAATCGTCCGCCCGCCCGGCCATCACGCCGAAGAGTCTGCCGTGATGTGAGTTGCAGTGCACATGCCAGATGATTGAGAGCCAGTGGCGTGGTTTTGTTCTTGTTTTTGTTATTATTAAAATAAGTACTATGCCTGTTTGCTTCGGAAAAGCCTCACTCAAGACTATTTTTGAGCAAGGTCCTGCCATGTATGTGCGATAGGGGCCGATGCTGCGATATATCATCCCAATTGAGTAATTTGTAGGTACATTTTGAGCATAACGTTTTGGCTACGACTCTGTGTCGGATTGCATTGTATTTCTAAGTTCACCTAGGTTTGTTTTCTACCTGATGACGATTGCTTGCGTTGCAATCGAAACGGCGTATTCTATTATTTAATTAATTTTCTTTCTACGTGACTTTACCGAAAGAACCAAAGAGTGGCTAATACTAGTTACAATATTTTTAGAAAGTTACGTGTGTAGTGTGTATGACCAAATCACCCAGAATGCACCCAATCTCATGATGAAGTAAGCTAGGCAGGTTTGATGATTTTTTTGTTCTTTGAAGAGGTGACCGCCTCACACGAAACATGTTCTTCGGCTCTGGAGCTGCATGGTGGACAGCAGAGGGCAGTGGAGCATAATCCATTGTTGTACAATACTCCTATACTCCCACATCTATGCTCCCCGCATTCACCAATGCACACTGACCACCGTGGTATAGTGTGTGATCCACAGGACCTGCGCGGCGTTGTGAGGCCCGTCAGGGTATTGACAAAGGGCTGTACGTGTGCAGTCGGCGGAGTGTGCTTGCAGCACACGCCATTCCTAGACAATTGCAATGTGTCATCCCAATTGACAGTTGCAATCGACAAAGACAACAGTCCCTGCTATAGCTGGCACTCTTGGTCACCTCACCACGGACGCCTCCTGTATTGCATGCTCGTGCGAGTCGGTGAGTTCTCGCTGGTGAGATTGAGGACGGTGTTTTGTGGTAGGCAGGGTGTGGTGCACTTTTGGCAGGCCGTGTGTCTCTGGAGCTGAGTGTGTGCGTCCCCTCGCTCGCCACCCCTGCGCTCTAGGGGTTTCTGCGTCTTCAATTCGGTGGCGATCGCAGCGAAGCTACTCCTGCAGGAGCTGCATGTGCGCAGGATCCTCATCGTCGATCTGGTGAGCTTCCCTGTGCGGCCACACTTTCTAGCTGCATGCTGGATTTTTTTTTTCTGTTTACTATGAATGTTTCTCAATCCCACCTTATATCAGCTTTTACGTCGTGGGATGAAGATGTCGGAACTCTCGCACGGAAGTGCGACCCTTCGTGTTAGAGAACGGCTCACGGAAGTGGATGTCACAGCTACCTCTGAGATCCCTTCAAGGAACCTCTGGAACTTGCAATAGTGGGCAGCGTTTTCTCACCTGCCCTGCCAATGAGAGAAACGTTGGATGTTATCAATTCTCAGCACTGGAATTTTGCCAAATTAGGTGCAGAACCAATTAAGTGTGACTGGTGACCAGGATGAAATAATCAACTCACTGCACTTGAGAATCTGGTATAATCACCGCATTCGAATTGCAAGATCTTCTGGCCACCTTGCACGGTCTTCTCGTTAACCTCCCTTGATAATGACTTTTGAGGCCGCTGCATTGATCGGTAAAGCACACTCTTAATGGTCTTGCCAATGGATCTTTACTGTCTGCAGTCGAATTGGACATCGGCCTGACCAGACAAGACAGTGAAGCAGAATGCCATTGTATATTCTGCCTTTCGCGCAGTACCGAAGCCAGTATTTTATGGAAGTCTGGTGCATTAAGACAGCCCGTTTCTTATTAACAAAACAAAAACACACGCACGTTCTGGCTGTCCGTGGACCTCTCACTGTAACTGAGCATTTGTCCGTTCGGTTCACGTTGCGAGGACATACTGAGCCGTGTCCTGCCTCCCACCCCCCCCTCCCGCCGCCGTGCCGTGCGCCGTGTTTGGCTTCACAGGATGTGCACCATGGTAACGGCACACAGCAGGCGTTCTACAACGACCCCAGGGTCCTCTATCTTTCCCTCCATCGCTATGACAACGGAAACTTCTTCCCCGGCAGCGGGGCGTCCAGCGAGGTGAGGGCGGGCCGCCACGCTGACCGCTGCGCGACGCGTTCGATTGGTCGGCGTCGGTTGAAACCCAGGTGGTGGATTGGCCGCGGTCCAGCTGGGGCCCGCTGATCGAGGGTGGGGGGGGGGGTTCTGTGGTCACCGCGTGCAGGTGGGCGTGGGGCCGGGAGAGGGATTCACAGTGAACGTGTCGTGGACCGGTGGGCTGGACCCCCCCATGGGGGACGCCGACTACCTCGCCGCCTTCCGGTGCGTCGCCGCGCAACTCTCTCCCTGCTGCCTCCTGCTGGCGCACTCGATGCCATGAACCAATTCCTGCTGCTGCTGCTTAGGTTTTTTTTTTCGGTCGAGCTGTGTACGGCGCTCCCAAGTATTTTGTGTTTAGCGCCGCATGTCGTTCGGTTCGACCGTCCTCCGTTCCACTGCGCGTGTCGAGAGCTTCGTGAGGATGCCGAACAACTCCGCGCACTGCCCGAAAATTGCATCGTAGGGCTACACGGCGCAGCTGGGAAAACTGACGCAGTAGTGGTTTAGTTCTCACACTCGTTGTCAATTATGAGACACTCATTGGTATTATGCAGACGTAACGCGGTAAAAGCCCTGCTAGCCGAATTCCGGCTAGCCATATTTGGCATTAAGCCTTCCAATAAAATAATTCTGCGCAGCCTCCACGCAGTCTCCGCCCCCCTCCCCTCCACCACCCCAGAAGCATGTGGAAGCAGTCCCCCCCCCCCCCCCCCCAACTGTGCTTGACACGGATCGTACCTCCCTTACCACTCCACGTTAAACGAGAGCGCTAGCATGTAAAGCTCTGCTCTTTTTTTCGCTCTTGACTCAGGCCTTAGGGGGACAGGAGGGCGCTCCGTGGCCGTCACCGTGGGCACAGTTTGGCCCTGCCTAAGGGAGGCGGTAGCAGCCCCCCGTGTCGGTGACCGCTCTCGTGACGGTTCCTGTGCAGGACGGTGGTGATGCCCATCGCAATGGAGTTTGAGCCGGACGTGGTGCTGGTCTCGGCCGGGTTCGACGCGCTGGATGGACACCCGCCGCAGCTCGGGGGGTACAAGCTCACCGCCTCCTGTGAGTAGCGCCTCCTCGCCACTGGGTGGGGAGCCACGGCTCTCGGCGTCAGCGTCGCGCAGCCAGCAAGACGTTCCACGGTTGTACATCTTCCGTGCAACCGCCCCTTTCGTTCGTCGATCCGCTGCTGGATGAGGGCTCTCCCGTACGCGACGCGGGAGTCGTGTAGGTTTATTTCGACATGCTTGACTCCCCCCACCGCTGGTCAGTGGCACGTTGGTGAAGGTGGAGAGCGTAGACGCTGGAGCAGAGCACAATGTAACGAGGGGCGCCACGGTGGTGTGATGTCATCTTCCTCGCCCGGTATGCAGGAGGTCGTGGGTTCGATCCCGACCCTCACGCCTCTCTATATTTGGAATTTGCACGTTCTCCCCGTGGTTGCGTGGATTTTTTTCTCCGAGTCCTCCGGCTTTTCCCTCCACGTTTAGAAACATGCATTGAGATAATTTTGATTATTTTGCTGCTATAAATGTCCAAATGATAAGCCGCTTTGTTGAGCGGCCTTTTTTGCCAGGTCGCTTCTGAAAAATAAGTTAATACCTCAGTGGGCTTTGCCTGGTAGGATGGGGATGGTTTAGTTTTATTTGTTTGTGTTTGGGTGATCTGTTTACCTTCCGTGTACTGGGCACTACTATCCCCCGCCCCTACAGCTTTATAGCTCATCGGATTCTTCCAGTACAAAGAGATATTCTGATTCAATGTGTTTTCCTGCACCGCCCTCTCCTGATGACAACATAGTCCCACAGCAGCCTATATCACCTGTTGCATGCATGGTGGTTTCCAATCAAAGCACTATCCGGGCTCAACACTCTACTTAGCTTCCGAGATCTCACAATATCCAGGCACATTGCGTACTATTTTATCCTAGGCTTTTTACATGAATACGCAATACAAATCAGGAGCAGCTATGCGATTCTATAAGGAGGCACCAACTCTGTACATCCTGGGCTGAAGATTTTCTTTAGAGAGACAGCAAAAGCATTAACCCCCATGACCCATACAGCAAGGAAAGGCCCTTATCCAGCAGAGGATTGACAATGCATTCCATTAATAGTTTTAATATGTATGCCGCCTCGTGTATGCAATGTGGACCCACGTAAATTTCTGAAATACTTTTGAATCCTAAGACTAAGAAACCAACTCCAACATACGATTTTGGCAACCGTCTAGAACTGCTAATCCTGTAGGATTGTTGAGTGTTATCAGATGTGTATGTATATGAGTGATGAATATCCGAACCGTTCCTTGGCCTCTCTTAGGTCGATTCAGTCTCAAATGAGTACCTGGTGGGGTGTTTAAACATCGCCACTTGGGAGACAAAGGCGGTCGGGCGTGGTGCTGCCCACCCACCCTCTCATGTGCTGTGGTGGCCTTCATAGGTGCTCACGAACAGCCCTTGCCCCAACAGTCTGTTCAGGCTTGAGGCCGACCGAAACTGAATTTCTGGTTTCGGCCGAAACCGAAAGTAAACCGAAAGTTATAAATTGACTTGCGGCCGAAACCGAAAGTAAACTGAAAGTTTACTTTTTGGCTTCGGCCGAAACAGAAACTATGCCGAAGGAGGCCATTTGCCAACTTTCGGCGCCGAAACAGAAACCAAATTTTGGTCGGCCTCTAGACGCGTCACAGACACGCACGCACACCCAAGCCCCCCCCCCCCCTCCTGCTGTGTGGAAGCTATGTGGAGGAGGTGGGGTGGGATGGGGTGGTGGGAGGGTTGAATTGAATCATTGGAGGGGTGGGTGGGTTGGTGTGTGTGTGGCTGGTGGGCGGATGAGTGAGTATGCGCACGCGCGTATGCACACTGTTGGCATCAGCACGCTGCTATAATCTGCTCAGTGTGCTGTGCGTGCGCCCGCGTGTGTGTGTGTGGTGCGTGTCTCGAGCTGCCTCTGAGAGCCCAGCCTCTGAGCCGCTCAAACAAAAGTGCTCCTGGTGGACTGCTGCTGCTGCAAGTGCTGGCTACGTGTGTGCTGCTGCTGCTGCGAGTGCTGGCTACGCGTGCTGCTCTTGCTGCTAGTGCTGGCTACGTGTGCTGCTCTTGCTGCTAGTGCTGGCTACGCGTGTGCTGCTGCTGCTGCAAGTGCTGGCTACGCGTGCTGCTCTTGCTGCGAGTGCTGGCTACGTGTGCTGCTGCTGCTGCTGCGAGTGCTGGCTACGCGTGTGCTGCTGCTGCGAGTGCTGGCTACGCGTGTGCTGCTGCTGCTGCGAGTGCTGGCTACGTGTGCTGCTCTTGCTGCTAGTGCTGGCTACGTGTGCTGTTGCTGCGAGTGCTGGCTACGTGTGCTGCTGCTGCTGCGAGTGCTGGCTACGTGTGCTGCTGCTGCTGCTGCGAGTGCTGGCTACGCGTGCTGCTCTTGCTGCTAGTGCTGGCTACGCGTGCTGCTCTTGCTGCTAGTGCTGGCTACGTGTGCTGCTGCTGCTGCAAGTGCTGGCTACGTGTGCTGCTGCTGCGAGTGCTGGCTACGTGTGCTGCTGCTGCTCGCTAGTTTGGTGGTTTTGAGGGGGGGAAGTTATTTTTTTCTTATTCTTCTCCGTCGTCTGTCTTATTCCCCCACCACCACCACCACACCCCTCTCACCCCCATCCTTGCTTGAGCGTGCGTGTGTGCGCTGCTTGTGATCGCCAGAGAGAGTGGGGAGCGTCTGCCATCAACCACCGCCGCCGCCGCTGCTGCCCGGAGTCGCGAGAGCGTGTTGTTTAGAGGCCGACCGAAACTGAATTTCTGGTTTCGGCCGAAAATTAAACCAGACCGAAAGTAAAAAATTGACTTTCGGCCGAAACCGAAACTATGCCGAAAGAGGCCATTTGCCATCTTTCGGTGCCAAAACCGAAACCGAATTTCGGTCGGCCTCTAGTTCAGGCTGTACGGAGGGGGATCTTTGTGTTGTGTATGTATTGGTATGTGAGTGGGCTTCTGCTAGGTCAGCTCGGCCTCATATAAGCACCTTGTGCAGTGTGTAAGCGTCACCACTGCGAAGATAAAGGTGGCTGGGTGTGTGTATATGGAATAGACGCTAAAAGCCCCTGACAGAAGTCTGTATGTCTACACGGGGAATTGTTGTTGTGTGTGTTTATGGAACAGGCTTTGGGCATCTGGTTCGCCAGCTCATGAGCTTGGCCAACGGGCGGGTGGTGCTCTCCCTGGAAGGGGGTCACGAGTTGGGAGCGTTGTGCGACGGCACCGAGGCCTGCCTGCACGCCCTACTGGGCGACCAGGTAACCACCACCGCATCGGGCGCACGTCTGAGGACGCCTCTTTCGTACGGATACGGATTGAGAAGCGACCGCGTGAATCGAAGTCCCAAGTCGTGAATCCAGCCGACGATGGCTTAAAGCAGAGGTGGGGAACGTCCGGCCCGCGGGGCCGTATGAGGCCCCGCGGAATCATTTGGCAATTCCAACCGTCACATTAGGGGTGAGTTAATTAAATGTTTGACCAAATATAATAGGCTAATCTTTAAGTTGATCATTTTGTATGGCCCGCGAATGATGTTATAATTATCCAAATGGCCCTTGGCAGAAAAAAGGTTCCCCAGCCCTGGCTTAAAGAGACTCAAATTGCGCACTTGCGGTTAATGTTTCAAGTGAACTACGACCTCTCAAAGGAATGGCGCCGTCCCCCGTGGTTCCCACCCCCCCCCCCCTCGCCTATGATCCGTGGATCAAAATAATAATTCGAGGCACCGGTGTATGGCAGCGAGAGCAGTTTATGCGAATGCTCTCGCAAGAGGTCACAGGTTTGTAACAACGGTCATTCGCTGACTATGCGCGCTGATGAATGAGCGAATGCTTTAGAGGACGAGTGTGAACCATTCGTGCACTCGGAGGAGGTCACTCGCAGTGGACACGAGTTCACGCACAGACCTACAGACTCGCACAGAGAACCCATAGACTCATGCAGAGGTCTACAGACTAGCAGATAAACTCACAACGTGGGGCGCCGCAGTAGTGAGATGTTAAGTACTTCGCCTGGTGTACAGGACGTCGTAGGTTCGATCCCGACCCTGACACCTGTATATATGGAGTTTGCATGTTCTCCCTGTGGTCTTCTCTCTGGGTCCTCCGGTTTTTCCCTCCACATTTAGAAACATGTTTTTAGAGTATTTGGCTGCAATAAATTGCCACACCTTGAGCCTCTTTGTTGAGCTGTCGTTTGTGGCCAGGTCGCTTCTGAAAAAAAAGCTACATTGCTCGGTGTGCCTTTTCGTGGTAAAATAAACATAGTTTTAGTAGTTAGGTTACTGTTTTCTGAGGTGTGCGGCTGCCGCATTTGGATGATCCTTTTAATTTTCCAGTTGTGGAATGGGTGGTTCCACCTTCTCTGGTCAGCGCAGACACAATCTAGACGTCCACTCAGTGCAGCACGGCGCTGCCCTGCGGTACGGAGCTCACCTCGCACACGAGTTCGCTCTGCGTAGTGTGTTGAATATTGTTCCTGTTGTTGTGGGAGACATCGTGGATGCGACGATGGTAATGGAATTTCCCCATTGCAGCTGGATCCGCTCCCAAAGGATGTTTTGGATCAGAGGCCTAATCAAAATGCGGCGGAGACTCTGGAGAAGGTCATCAACATTCAGGGTGAGTCAGTCTCGCGTCACGGCATTAGTGGAATCGCGGTTCTCGCCCGAGCGTGCGCAAATACGAGACATGCAATGATTCACGCCCCCCGGTGTTTCGATTTATGTACGTACGTATGTTGAACTTGTTTCGCACCATACGTAGCCAATCGCGCTAAAAAGATTCGGGGTTAATGATTCAGTTCAACGATCGATTTTTTTTTGTTTTGCCTTTGCTTCCCATTATTTTGTCTTCTTCGTGCAGCTTTGCTCCATTCGTGTGCGGCCCTTTTGTCAGTCCGCTGCTGGATGCAGGCCCGCCCCACGCCATGTGGGTTATTGTAGTCTCCTTCACCATGCTGCTCAGTGTGAGTTGGTGAAGGTGGGGAATGTAGTCGCAGGAGCACAGAAGTGCAGTACAACAATGGATTTTGCTGCACTGCCTTCTGCTATGACCTCGCACAGCATGTCCGTACGACTCCTATGAACAGTCGATTGTTGCACGCGGGCGACTCGACAGCAAAAAGACTCAATTGCAGCCTCATCACCGAGCCCGGCCGTATCCGAGACGTCGGCGTCGCCTAACCTTCGGGGCCCTCGCTGTGCCGTCCATTGCGCAGGCAAGTACTGGGCGAGTGTGCGGCGCGGCGTGAGCACCGTGCGCCTCTCGCCGCTCGAAGCTCAGCGCAGGGAGCGCGAGGAGGTGGAGACCGTGTCCGCCATGGCCTCCCTATCGGTCGCCGTGCGCAGCGACAACGGCACGCCGGAACGGAGGTGACCGCCGCCGGCACACAGACACACGCGGCGACACTCCTGGGATTAGGGGGACGCGCGACTCCCCCCGCCCCTCCACCCCGCAGGTCGCCCGATTCTGTTCTCCTTCAGCGCCGTACACACCCCTCCCCCGAACACGGCTGACTCTTACGTCGGTGGCGTTGGAACAGCCACGGGAATGTTTTTTTCTTCCTTCGGCTAAAATGTAAAGAGGAAGAGGTCGGCCAACAAACCGGCTGGATAATGAACACCAGTGTCTCGGGAGAGAGATCGGCAATGGACGTCTTGCAGGTCGTGAAAAACGTCACAGGACGCGGAGAGAGATAATTGCCAAAGCGTGGCTGGTGTCCCCACGACCTTGACGGTTAAGGGAGGGATGACGCCGGTGATGGATTTTCGGAGCACACTGTTCCTTCACCTAATTTATTTTTCCCATAATTGCATCATGACCTGAATCATTCATCAGCTTATTCAATGAGTAATTGAAAATCTAATGGGAGGAATTGTGCTTAAGCAATTGCAAGGACGACTAATCTTCCATCGTTGCTTTTACTCTCCAGATCCCTGGAGCCTATGGAAGAGGAGGCCGACTGAACGAATTCCCCACGGGTGACGGCGCGTCGCGCTACGTCTCCGCGCCTCGCAGCACTGAACCCGGGTGGCTCGCAACTCCTTACCCGCCGCTCTCGGCAGCGGCTGTCCGAGGTCGACTACGATAACGGAACACTGCCGATGACGCAAGTTTAAATGGGAAACGGGTTCCCCAAACACGTACTTTCTGCGGTCGCCGCTCTCGACCGTGGTCTGCCCGTAGTCACGGCCTCGTGCGCCCGTGCGTGTGTCCGTGGGACACCCGGCCAGCTCGCTGAGCCCAGAGCTGGAAAGCCACCGCTGTGACCGTGACCGGCTGGGCCCCGCACGCCAGCCCCGGTGACGACAGTCTCTCTCACGCCGAGGCACGCCCGCGCCTCGGCATTCCCCGAGCGAAAGACGTTCGAAGGTCACCCTTGTCCTGAAGCCATCGCTAAAAGAAATCCAGCAATTTATGTTGTACATAGACGTGGAAATTTACATGATATATATTTTTAACGTTACTCTAAAATTATATTTCATATAAAGAAAATAAACGCCAAATGTCGGACGTAAAGCACTAACGTGTGTATGCACGCGTAAATGCATATTCGCCGAGTGTCGACGTAGAAATCGCGATGATTCGTAGAGTCGTGAATGGGTTGTTAGTAGGAGCCATCGCTTACCGATGATGCTGGGGTCATGTCAGTAATTCGTCCGGTTGTAAATCCGTCGGCACATTTGCAAGGTGACGCTTTGGTACTCGTGCGCATTCAAATCGGACGTGGCACGCTTTAACACGTGTCGTTAGCCAGCCAATCGTTGTATCTACCTGTGAGTGACAGCCAATCACACAAGTGAGCCTGCAGGAGACAGCCAACCAGTCGACTCCCAGGCGACGTGAACGTTGAAACACTCGCCCCCCCCCTCACCCCTTCCCCGTTTTTTGGACCAGGTCTCAGGTGTCGCCGTATCATCACCGCGACACCGCCAATGGGCTGTGGAGTCATGGGAGCGAGGATCCGCTTTGTTGTTTCGTTACCTTCATAGTATTGGCCTTCGTGCACGATGTTTTTCTGGGCCCTTGCGGTGGATTTACGGTGGATTTACGGTGGAGTCCACCGCGCTGCTGTTCGAAGAGAAGCGGACGAGCCATCGAATCGCACACGTTGCCGGGTAAGCGTCGTGTGCGTGGCATCCACTTGAGGGTTGCCCTGCCCTAAACGCTTGCTCCTTTTTTTTCTCCCACATTTGCCTTGGCAGCACTTAAGGCTTTGCTGTTTTGTCTAGAGGTGCCTCTGAACGCAAAATTACTCGCCGCGTTGCGGAGTGGCGAAACCGCTACACGGCACGTGAGACAGTCAGGACCGGTAATCTGAAAAGCGCCGGTTTGGCGTTGACTCGTGCAGGATAGCGATGCAAGAAATAACCGCAAGATGCGGTTATTTTTCAAAATACGTCCCTGCCAATGGGGGTAGACTTCAAATCGGGAAATTAACGCGTGACTTTCAATGTATGCACTAATCTAAGGAGTCCACGTCACACCTGCAAACAAGGCGATTTGTAAATTCTCTAGGAACGGGAAAGTGTGGCAGTGTTCATCTGAGACAGACACAATTTCCATTGGCTGGGATTCAATGCACACCGGTGCATCCATGGGGGCGGGCGGCTTCATAGCAGGCAGTGCGAAAAAAAATACGTTTTACGTCCTTTTGCTGTGATTTGAATTCTGCTCACAAGAGTGTGGCATCTTGAGAAATATCTGTGTCTCGTACGTACTCGCCCTGTCGCCTGTGTGTGTGTTTGCTTGTGTACATAGACGGCGGCGCGTTGGAGTGTAAATAGGCGTGCCAGTGTATCCTGTAAGAGAGCCTCAGTTCACCATCGCGACTCCATAGACATTGGGACCAGTGGCATCATAAATAATGACACTTTACAGACTTGACACCGGTGCTCCCACAGACAGCAGACAGGTGACTTGCCCAGGAGTATGGCAAAGCGCTAAACATACATATTTCGTTGCCAAATTAGAAATGGCCTTTTGCACAAAAGATCCATTACAGGTTTTTAAGTGAACGCGTCAATAGGCTCTGCCAGACGCCTGCTGGACATTAGCCGTGGCCATTCTTTTTGGTTGTTTGAAGCCACGTTCACTTGGCAAACAAGTTTAGTGCGGCTGTTTTCTTGCGTATTCCTCATTCTTACACACACTGCTCACAGTTGGGGAGGACCTAGCCGAAAAATGCTAACATTGAACGGGGAGGAGGAGGGAAAAAAAAAAGACTGGCGTTTGGTGCAGACGTGTTTTTTCTTTGGAAGAGAAATACTCGGGAGAGTGTACGTGCGCCAGTCTCTTGCGAGCCCCCCCCCCGACCCCCCCCCCCCCCATCTAAACACGCGCCACGCCGCTGCCAAACTCCGCAGAGCGCCGAGCACCCAGCGTTCAATATTGCCCGAGGGCGGACCCTTATCGGTTTGTGAAATTCGTGTCAGTTTTCGGTTCTGTACGTGTGTGGCTAAGGATAATTTGTCGCCTATGGTGAATGGGGAAACATCTCGGGCTGTACGCGTGCGGAATGAAAATGCGGCCCTGGGTGGTGCGCGGTCCGACCGAATTATCCCGGCGTGTCGATTTACGAACAACGGAATGATGTACAGTTTTGTCTTACTTTTCATAATATATATTTTCATCAAATATGTAAACTAATATATTTTACGTAGAATACCTATATGGGAGAGACCTGGTTAATCCGCATTTTAGAGACATTTTTGATACGTGAACAGTGCAGATTGCAAATTCCAGATGCATGCTGTTGCTGTAACTCTGCCAAGCACGTAGCCAGGTGGATTTGTCGGCGCACGGCGATGGAATTCGTTGCCGCACGATAGCGGCGACGGCGACGGCGGCGGCTAGCGCAGCGTCGCCGCCGCTGTTCAGCACGTCGCCCGATTTACCATATGCCGGCCGTCCCTTCCGCGTTCACGTTGCATCGCTTTCATGCCACTTGACGGGCTGGCCGTGTGCGTTACGGCCGCCTGATATTGGGCCCCCGATGCCTTTTGCTTTGACGAAGCAGAAAGGCGAAGCCTGCGTTGAGAGCGCCGAGCGTCTGCAGATCGGTTGCCGAACGCCCGCTCGCCGCGCGGCTTCCCCGCGGGGTGGACAATGGACATCGGCGTGGAGGTTGGCCATACGCCCCGCAAATGTGATCGCGTTCGGGCGACTTTGCCGACGCCCTACGGCCACAACCGGGAAGAGCTGGCATGGTGCGCTCGTGCGCTGGCACTGTTTACTTTATTCGTGAGTGCATAATTTTTTTAAAAGAGACTAACACATTCCATTGAACCATGTCTTTTTTTTCCATCGTATGGAAATATATATAGAGAGAGGCCACGAGCGTTTACTCGGATCATACGTCGGCACTTTGTAACCGTTAAACTCACATATCTGGGATTGGTGTGCTTCATGATAAGGCTTCAGTGTGGGTAATGTCCTCTAACGTGATGTAAGTCAATGCATTGTAAAGTCCCTATGAGGTGACCTTTATATTAAATGATTGTTAGCAGAGTTGATATAATATATCTGTCATTTAGATGAATGTGAAAAAGGTTTATAAATTACACAGGCACATTTGCACATGTAATGAATATGTCCTGCACTACAGGAACACGTAACAGCATATCAGTGGAGCCAGTTATGGTTTGTTTGTTTTATATTTAACATACAAGTGTACGAGCCATAAAAGACTTATCTTGTCTGCTTTTTGAGAGAAATCGACTCCCAGAACCATACATGGCGGTGGCTATCAGCAGCAGCAGCAGCAACAGCGGAGTTGGAGCTTGCAGTGTTGCTGTGGTTCTGGTTACCGACACCATTCATCGATGCTCTTATAGAACACGCAGACCTGCGTCTGTGCGAGGGTCATTCAAAACGTTCTTGTGCCGTCAATTTACTCGAGTGGTCGGGAGGGTTCAGCGTCAGATAATTTTCTTTTGCCAGGCTAATCCACCCTGTTCCCTGCCCCCACCCCCCGACGGCCTCCTTCATAGCTCCATGTCTACCAGTCGCGTGTTACGGGAGTGATGTGCATTAGCTAAATGAAACGTGAATGTAGTGCGATTGACGGACGGGGGAACTCAGTTCGAGGTGGCGCGCTGTGGCCAGCAGTTTGGGGTGTGCTTCCGTGCGGAATCGTGGTACTTGAGACAATGACAAAATCCTCTGTCCCTTCCTTACGAGGTTTTCGGCTTTTGAATGACCCTCGAGGATGCGTTGCGCGTGCGTCCCGTGCCTGTGCCTACGCTCGCGCGTCCAGACGCAGCGTTTGATCCCCCGCGTGGTGAACACGAGCCAGTGAGGACTTCTCCGAGTACCGATGTGATGCGCGCACACGTGCGTGCGTGCGTGCGTGTGCGTGCGTGTGCACGCACGTGCCGTGCTGGCACCCGGTGAGCTGAATGTAATTTTAATCGAACAGCTTTGTGGGCCACACGCCATGCCTCGCCGGCCTCGTTTTCATCGGCGACGCGTCGACTTAGAGCCAGTCCTGTGCGTAGTGTTAGACGACGATGTTACCGACAGCGCAGTTTGTTTTGGTTTTTGTCTTCTCAGTTGCTGTTCTGTGGTGAAAGGCATCGTGCTTTCGTAAGGGTCCATCGTTTTATTTCGCGGTAGGTTTTTATTTTCCCCATGATACTGTACCGTTGTTTATTCGTGCGCTTCGGTAAGCGTGATGCTGTGATTAAAGATCTCGAGCTGTGCGTTCATCCTAAGGTGGAACCATCGGGACATTTGTATACACTCTCTCTTTTCTACTCTCGATGTCAATCAACATTTACAATGTATACTGTCGCGACGTTGTTTTTACGAATGCAAATGTTTCGCTCTGTTCGGGCAAGTACTGTTTTACGATTGTTCTTTTTTTTTTCGCTCGTGAAAACTCCGTAACTTTTTTTTTATACACGTGTATATATAAAGCGTAAACTTAACAACAACAACAACAACAAAAAGCCTTTGTCAGCACATCACATCGTAGCCTTGTGCCGTCGCGCGATACGCAGCCGCTGTGACCAATGCTCCTCCGCCTATTTATTTCCAAGATCAACTGTTGTCACCGTTCGCGTTTTGTGACACTGAGCGGGCGCAGAGGAGGGAGCCGGGTGGTCTCTCTCGTGTCTTGGCGCACAGCATTCCTTCGCGACGCATTCCAGCGGGCTTCGCTCCTCCGCAAAGCCCGTGCTTTATTTGGCTTGTTGAAACGCTCACACATATCTGTGCGCCGCACACTGCGATGAAAACGTTGCCGCTGCTCTGTGCAGCAGCGCTGCCGCCACGTTAGCACCGCGGGGGTTTTTTTTTCATATATTTTGGGGGAAGAGGAGGGAAAGGTGGGGGGTGGACGCGTTAATCGGCGCGTTGTTCATGGGCGCGTTGTTCATGGGCGCGTTGTTCATGGGCGCGTTGTTCATGGGCGCGTTGTTCATGGGCGCGTTGTTCATGGGCGCGTTGTTCATGGGCGCGTTGTTCATGGGCGCGTTGTTCATGGGCGCGTTGTTCATGGGCGCGTTGTTCATGGGCGCGTTGTTCATGGGCGCGTTGTTCATGGGCGCGTTGTTCATGGGCGCGTTGTTCATGGGCGCGTTGTTCATGGGCGCGTTGTTCATGGGCGCGTTGTTCATGGGCGCGTTGTTCATGGGCGCGTTGTTCATGGGCGCGTTGTTCATGGGCGCGTTGTTCATGGGCGCGTTGTTCATGGGCGCGTTGTTCATGGGCGCGTTGTTCATGGGCGCGTTGTTCATGGGCGCGTTGTTCATGGGCGCGTTGTTCATGGGCGCGTTGTTCATGGGCGCGTTGTTCATGGGCGCGTTGTTCATGGTCGCGTTGTTCATGGGCGCGTTGTTCATGGGCGCGTTGTTCATGGTCGCGTTGTTCATGGGCGCGTTGTTCATGGGCGCGTTGTTCATGGTCGCGTTGTTCATGGTCGCGTTGTTCATGGTCGCGTTGTTCATGGGCGCGTTGTTCATGGGCGCGTTGTTCATGGGCGCGTTGTTCATGGTCGCGTTGTTCATGGTCGCGTTGTTCATGGGCGCGTTGTTCATGGGCGCGTTGTTCATGGGCGCGTTGTTCATGGGCGCGTTGTTCATGGTCGCGTTGTTCATGGGCGCGTTGTTCATGGGCGCGTTGTTCATGGGCGCGTTGTTCATGGGCGCGTTGTTCATGGTCGCGTTGTTCATGGGCGCGTTGTTCATGGGCGCGTTGAAAACGGTCGCCGCTGCACGCAGGAATGGGAAGGAGTGAGGATGCGGGATAGCGTCGGGACTACCGGATTTAGCTTCAGCACTACTTTCTTTTTTCGGAGCCGCGACGTTTCGCGCTGCAGTGGCCGCGTGTGGTCATCCTCCTCTACCCCCACGGTGTCAATTCCGAAAAGCCGACTTCACGGTTCAGACGTTTCACACCATAGCCTTTCAGCTGTGCGTATACTTCCAGCGACATGCCTCGGGTTCGTCGTGCAAATTCTAAGGCCTGAAAACTAGAGGCAAAAAACCACGTTCAAATGTAGTGAACTCGTGTCGATTCCACTTAACGTCGGCGGTTTCGTTTGGCGAGGGCGCGAGCTTGCATCGCACACAGCAACGAGGTTCCATTGTGCGCCCATCTCTCGTCGAGGAAATAGCTTTGAAATATTTTTCTAACATCGCGCATCTCGTCCTTATTTTTGTCATTTACGCCGCTGACGTGTGTGCGCGTCCGCGCGTTTAATATTCGCGTCTTTTGCTGGGGTTTCTTCGAGCAGCATACCTCCTTTGAACGTGAGCAGCATCGAATGAACTGAAGAGGCTTCACATTGGGCGATGATGGGAACTACCTTGGGCCGGTGACGTTTGTGGTTGAGCGTGTGACCGCCACTCGCTCCACTAGCGTTGTCCTGTCACTCGACCCCGAGTCGCGAGGGATCCAGGATGTTGCGCGGAGCCTCGTTGCCGGGTGTTTGCAGCTGTGAGAGTGACTGTTCGGGGGGGGGGGGGGGGGGGGGTGCAGTTGCCCACCACTTTTTCACTCTTGTGTGCCCGCATTGCTTTGCCGGAAGCCGGGGAGTTACTTATCCCCCAACCGTGATTTTTGGCCGGAGGTTGTGCAGCTTGGAAGCGAGTGTGTGAGAGTGAGTATATTTAGAACGAGTGTGGGGGGGGGAGCGGTGGCATGGCGGTTAGCGCGCTGCGCTACGAACCTCGGCGGCTACCTGGGTTCGATTCCCGCTCACGGTCGACCCCAGTGACGATGATCTGAACCGGTCCTGGGCCTCGCCTAGGTCGACTCGGCCTCTAATGAGTACCTGGTGCGGTGTGTAGACATCGCCACTGGGGAGAAGAAGGCGGCCGGGCGTGGTGCTGGCCACCCACCCCCTCGTGTGCCGTGCCGGCCTTCATAGGTGCTCGCTAGCAGCACTTGCCCCAACAGTCTGTTAAGGCAATGCAGGGGATCTTTGTTGTGTACGAGTGAGGGAGAGTGCATGCTTGAGTGACTGAGTTTGCGAGCGAGTTTCCGATTGGTCGCCCCCCCCCCCCCCCCCTTGCTGTTACGGTTCGTGGGGAGCTGGAGGTCGTCGGTGGTTGTGCGAGGACACGGAGAGGCGCGCGCGTGCGGACCCGGCCTCCTCGCCCGACCACTGTCAACGAATCCGACCGGCGCTCCCTTGGCAGCACGCAGTGCGGGCACTGAGTGGGGGCATCGGCGGCGAGAGGGCGCTGCGGTCACCGCCGCCGCCGCGTGCCACTTGGCGTGGGTTTCATGACCTTGTGCGAGCGTCGTGTGCGAGCACGTGCGCGTACACACACACACACGAACACAGTACTAAATGAACAAGATAGATATTTTATACTTACAGTTCTAAATAAAATAAATATATATCTGTGCTGTAACTGTCTGTCATGATTTGTGGATCGCGTTTTGCTGGTTTTCGGTCAACCCAACAATTGATGATTGTGGTGTTGGGTGAGCCCCTCGCGTCTGAAGGAGGCCTCTGACCCGGAGCGTTGTTTCCCCGGCTGCCGGTTCACGATGGAGGGGGTCGTGAGCGAAGGATCGAGGTGAAGGCCTCTGACAGGGGTGCAGTAATTACATTATTATCAGATCTCAGGGAGTGCGGCAATCGCTCAGGTGGGGCCCCAATATTTGATTTGCCTCGCATGGTCCCACCTCGGCTACTATTGCTCGCGGCTCACGGTTTCGAGCAATTAACGTTTGTAGGGGCGCACGCTCTTCGCAAAACGTAGCCACTACACCTCCGTGGTAACTCTCAGCAATATTAAGTTACTGCTCTCGTTGAATTAAAATGGAACGTGGAACGTAAATGAAAGCATTTTCATGAAAAAAAACTTAAACCGCTTTTTAATGACGTTTGTGTTATTTATACACTTGTTGAAAACATCCCATGGTGGTTGTCAAGAGAGCTCCAACTCGTATCTTTGGCCACCAGGGGGGGTGGGCAATTCACCCCTTGCCACCACGCGAGTTTTACTCCTGGCCACGGGTCATTACTTGACCTCTTTTTCCACGGCGTCCCGTGTTTGTCATGTCCACCACAAACTGAAAGTGTCAGGCAGGTTTCTTTTTTTTTGCTCTGCACTCCAAAACTGGTGACATTGCATTTGAATGAAAACATTCAGGCGATATTCACGTTTTGGCAAAATGACCAAAACGCCATCATTGCGATTTGCCTTCCAGCTTGTGATTAATGACAATGTCAATGATTTACCCCAGGTGAGACTGTCTCAGGCCTATTTTAGGAGGGTCCTGGATTGAGATGTTTGGCGAATTTAATGAGTGCCTCGCGTCACGTGTAAGGAAGTAGTCACAAAGCGGCGTGACCCTCTTGCAAAAAGCGGCCTTTTGCAAAACAATTCCCGCATTGTGGCTGGTACAGTTCCGGGACCTCGCTGAAACCTGGAGTCCATCTTGGGTCCCAGAGACCCAGGGAGAGCCGAGCGCAGGAAATCCCAGAACCTGGGATCCGTGACACCCAAGCAACGGGACAGCCCCTTTTGTCTCCGAGCGTTCGGGGGCAGTGCCGAGGTTGTGGGACACCTGGCTCTTGGAATTGCACTGCAGCTCCGCCGAGTTCTGCATCCGGATTCATTCGTCAATTCATTTCCGGAGGTGGGCGTGTGACTCGCTTGAAAAGTGCAACGGAGGAGACGAGATGCATGCGGTTAAGGCGTGGGGGTGGCGAGCCCAGGACCCAGAGACACTGGACTTGAGCTCACTCAATCACCAACTTGCTCACTTACCAGCTTGCTCACTCACCGGTTGACTCACGCACTCGCCAGCATTCTCACTCATCAACCCACAGGCTCGCCAGCTTTCTCGCTCACTCACCAGCTTGCTCACCGTCCCAGCTGACTCGCACTCACCAGCGCCCTCACTCATCACCTCGCGCACACTCACTCATCGGCTCGATCACTCACCACTGTTGGGGGCTGCTCTCCAGCGCTGGGTAACGCAATGCTGAGTGCGATCATTCTGAATGGAGCAAGAAATGCTGGTGACCTAAATACGGTGCTTGGTGGCTGGCTGATTAATGTTCTGTTAAATGTACAAACAATAATCCCCCCATAGGTCTTATTCTATCAACACGAGTTGTTTGTTATTACAAGACCAACAGATTTGGTCTTCGAGGGCCCGTATTTACCATTCGCTGGATTCGGGCCACGTGTTTTCTGTCTCGTTCTGTTGGATTCTCGCCGTGTTTCAAACGACGGTACCGCCTCGTGTGTGTTATTGCGCAACGTTTATATGTATGTGTGTATGTGTGTTACATATTTCAGTCGTAGTTTAGTGGTAATTGAAGGTAGAGGGGTTACCAGCCCCTCGCACCCGTCCAGAGCCCCCGTTTAGCCACTGTGGTGGACACAGACGCCATGAGGGGAGGAGCCAATCGGAATTGGTCCTCCCCCCACAGCACTGTCCACGACAGAGTTGCCCGTCCGGCACCGCGAGGAGGTCGGGG